AGTATGAAAATATCCACAAAAAAATTATTATATAGTAATTGTATTTTGATTATAATAAGTTACAACTTTAAGGTACTTTGTTATTATATAATAACTTTCTGTATTATTTATATATTATAATATATTTTATAAACAACTTTGCTTTTATATTATATCAGACAAATAACATTTTTTAATTAGTTTAACTTAATTACTGTTGTAATGTATTCAAATATTTTATATTGTTATCAACTAAACTATGAATTTGAACAAAAATACTTTTAAAATTTTATATTTTTAATTATTATAATTATTTAAAACATTTAAAATAATATTCACAAAAAATTAATAAATTTGCAATACAGCATATATTTAAATATGTTATAAATAAAAATGTTTTTTAAAAGCGCTATTTATATGCCATAAAAGTTGATAACTTATGAAAGTATTTATTGGTTACGGTTGACAAATCATTTCAAGTAATATATGGACTAATATTTAAATGTCATTTATAAGAGTAAGTATTCGTTACATATAATAGTAAAAGCAATATATCTATCAATAAGCAAAACTAATCGCACTCTTATGGTATGTATTTCTAACGTAAATTTCTTATATCTAGTTTATTGTCATTTCAATGCACAGTTAGTAATGCCATAAATGCAATGTCAGCACTTGGAGTTCACAACTAATACAGCATCTTTATATCTCACTTACTCTTAATATATTATATGCTCTCTCTCTCTCTCTCTCTCTCTCTCTCTCTCTCTCTCTCTCTCTCTCTCTTTCTCTTTCTCTTTCTCTTTCTCTCTCTCTTTCTTTATCCAAAAATATTATCTTTTTCCTCTAATTTATCGCCAAATTAATATGAAATATTTGCGGCTAATTTATGTCTGTGTTTTAAATTACTTAAAATATTGTTTGATTAATAAGATTTGATATGAAATTAAATGTTTTTTTAAAATAAGCAACAAAACAACATAACAACAACAAAAACGCTATGAATTTTATGCAAAAGCAACAAAATAAAGATATATTAATAATACATTTATATTTATTTGCTCTATTTGTTAGCAGCAGTTGTTAAACTCCCAAAACATCATCAAATACTATATTTTTCTTTATATATAATATTATTTATATTTAGTGAGGTTTTCCAACATATGAAAAGCCCTGCGGTGTCACTACAGAGAAATAGACGACCAGTTTTGTGAACTAAATTAGTAGTGAAAACAATAGCTTTATTCTGTTGTCTCACTTATGGCTATACTCTCATTCAACACAACTATTCAAAAGAGATGGTATATTTGTGAGTCATTATTTGGTAAAACTATGAGAATTTGTGGATACACTGTACTCTATGTATGAGAGTAGGCATCAAATTGATGCCAACACACACACAGACACACACACACACACACACACTCTGAAACATACATAAGCCTTATAATAGGGTTGAATGCAAGGGTGAGGTCCCTTATATTCCGAGTTTTAATATCTCTATGACAACACTAACACATATCAAATGGTTTGCATTGCATGTGTGTGTGATATACAGCAACTATAATATTAAGTTATAATACAGTACTCGGTATATATTAAAATGTATTGCTTTTTGTTGGGTTATATTATAACTTAGCCGATATAACATTAGACAATTGAATATAAGACAAACAAAGCGCACATTTATTTATCAAGTTATCGGTATATCACTGTTGAGGGACTTTTGTTACCCAATTGGGAACCCATTGACACATCACAGAGCATATCATCTCATTTTTTACCTATTGATGACATTGACAGTCATCATATAAACTAACCCTAACTTTTAATCTTACTTACAATTTATATAATATATACTAATTTATTATATATACCGGTAATACAGTATATTAATAGCTTTATGACAAAAAATGAATATTACAAACACTAACTTACTTTCAAAATATATTTATAATCAAAAACAGATTTATAAATTAAGTAAATATTTTTTAGAAATAAACAATTATCTGGTTTAAGTACACATCCAATATTAAATAAATATTATATACCGGTAGTATAACTATAATGATTATTTAATACAAAAAATATATGTCTAGCACATATGGATTAATTATGATATAAACAGGTTTGATAGTCACATAAAGGTTACTACTATTAAATATATAATTGTGTTTTTATTTTCTGTCTATTATTTAAATTGTTTCACACAAGTGTTTTATTACCAACTTTTATGTAAACAATATAAGAAAAAATTTTCAATAAAATAATATTATTAGTAACAATTGGAAAATCGTTTTAATTAAGATAACATCAATTGATGCGTCCAATCATATAAAATAAAGTAAATTTTTGATGGTTTGTTGATATTATATAAAAACTGTTAAGTTTATATTGAAAATATCATATAACATCATTTAAATGCATTAAAATATATATCTATGGTTAATTATATATTAATGATTTATAAAATATTAAAAAAACTAATACTAAAAAGTATTCATTTATTTTTAGTTATAATAATAATATTATAATAATTGATAGGTATCTTAATAGTAATTATAAGATAAATTTAGAGATTAATAATAAATTTATGTTTTACTTCAAGTTCATTGAATTTTTATATTATTATGAATAATTGAAACCCTATTGGAAATTATTGATATAACACATGAAGCAATATAAACAATCGTTATAATAGTTGACAATAAAATTCAACAACAAAAATAAACAAATCATTGTAATATGTTTTCTGTCAATAAAACTGACAAACACTTTAAAATTTATGAGAAAATGATAGAGAAATCTATAATAAAAATTAATAATCAATACTTAGATAATTTTAAAAATATATGTCATTTATGATATCATAGAATTTATATAAATACTATTATATTTGTAAATTTGTAAAAAATTTATCAAATTTTTTATTGAAAAAAATTATAGATAATTTAATTTTCAATAATTTATTAGAAAGTATTATTTCAATGTTATAAATTTGTAAAAATAAATAAAACTTGTAATAACATTGTAAAATTGTTAGTAATACTTGTATAAATGTTAAAATAATATTAAATAAATAAAGACTTATTCAATGAAACAATGAAAATAATTTACATAAATTTATATAAGTTTGAATTGAGACATAAAATGAATGTTATTTTGCAATTTATTATTTTAACTCAATTATTATCCCATTGAATAAGGATTAGAATTATATAATATTTTATGCTCTAATGAAATTGTTTTTATAATTATAATTTATATATAATTATAATATATATATATATATATATACTGTATAATGTAATGTTCATTAATTTAAGTAAGCTTTTAATGTATTTGAAAATTATTTGTGAAATAATTATCAAAAGAAAAATATATAAATATAATAATTTAGATCTAAGTATTATTTTTTCATGTAAAGCGTTTTAGTTTTTTTAACAATATTATATATTTAAATAATTTGAAAAAATTTATAGCATTTTCTAATATTATATCTCATTTTAACTTAACAGTATATATTAATATGTTTATTTGTTTATCTGTCTATATGTATGTATGTATGTGTGTGTATGTGTGTGTGTGTATGTGTGTGTGTGAGAGAGAGAGAGAGAGAGAGAGAGAGAGATAATCATATTTATGCTTTAAACAAATCAATCAAAGACAGCAAAACAATACACGTTGTTATATAACATGAGATATAATATTATATTATGAATATTATTATTATTATTATATACTGTATTATTCAAAAATGCGGCAACAAATCGACCGAGAATTCAATGACAGACAAACTTCAACAACAAAATAAAAGTGAAATGAATTGTGAATTTATGGCAATATAAATGTTGTTATCATATAAACAGTAAAAATTGCCCATAAATTCACTAAATATAAATATTGTAGTTATATTTCACAATACAGTACTTATATTATAAAATTTACATTTCACAAAACTCTTTTTAATTTACAATCTGTTTTAAATAGTGTTTACATTAATTTTAATTTTTGGTTAACCACTAATAAAAAAAAGTTATTTTAAATGATTTTTTTTACATTATTGAGAGATAAAGTATTGAACAATCATATGAACTGTTCAATTGTCAGGTGCTCTTTACAGGGCTTATGTTTTTATGTAAAAAATGTTATTTTTTTAGCGACTGAAGAGATGAATTGAAGTATTATTCAAAAGGAGACTTAATGTACCATAACTTCGCATTAATGTCAGTATAGTTTTTGCATATTATGTAATAACTACAATATTATACCAAACTATACTGTATTTAAAAAATATCGTATAAATTATATATAAAGTTATATTTTTAAATTTAAAGTATAGTATAAAATATAATATATATATAACATAACAAATAATATAATATGAATATAATTTTGTGTGGTGTAAATAAAATTTTTAAAATTATATTTTATTTAAATAATAAACTGTGTGATAAAAAAATTATATTTAAAATATAATAATAACATAAAACAAATTAAAAATAAATACAAATTCATAACAAATAATTAATTTTTAAAATAAACAAACAATGTGTATTTATAAATAACAATTAATAAAATAGTTTAAATTATATAAAAATGCAATAACACATAAATATTTACATACAAATAATGGCAAAACATAACAACTAAATAAAATTTTATGATATAATTTGTAACAATTGAAAAACAAGCAAACTATGTCTGTGTGTAACAATAAAATAAAAATATAATAAATAAAATTGTTTGACATAACACTCTAGACTTAAGATAAAAATCTAAAAATATTTATACAAAATATAATAAATGCGTTTTAAATAATAATAATTATTATTATTTATATATAAAAAATTAATACTGTATAATATACAGTGTATATACAAATATTTTTTTAAAAATATTGAATATATTGTGTCAATAAAAGGAAACTATTTTTGACAATAATTTATAGACAATATTAAAAACAAATGGGAAATTTGTGCTAAAATAAGTGATGACATGACAAATGTGTGTCCCCTTACCTGCGAGCCTGAGAGCAGACATCCTCTGGAACTCCGGTTCTTCCAACCATTTCTGCATCCGTCTGAATGTCTCGCGTCCGCTCTTGAGTTTGCTCCATGGCTTAGGGTTCCGGAGCAGATCGGACAGTGTTCCCTGTGATCGGCACAGGACTCTCTGTGCGAAGATAGCCTGTGGTATGGAATAACGTTTCAGTTCTGCACTAATCCGTTGTGCGAGATCTTTGGTGTTGATCTCCTCGATATCGTCGGCGCCATTGTTTGAAGCCGACGAAGAGGTTTGCGTCACAGCAGTATTGTTGCTGATAGTGGTCTGCTTAGTGTTATTGGCGCCAATGCTGACAATATGTTGTTGTTGTTGCTGTTGTTGTTGTTGTTGTTGTTGCTGCTGCTGCTGTTGCTGTTGTTGTTGTTGTTTGATTTGATTGAGTTGGTGCTGCTGATGATTGAGAGCATTAGCAGTGGTAACAACAGCGACAGGTGTTGATACTATAGTTGTGGCTAAGTTACTAATGCCTGCAGTGGCCGCCTGTACTATAGTGACCGTTTGAGCGGTCGGTGCAATAGCAGCGGGGGTTGGAGTGACTGCCTGTAAGACTGTGATTGGTTGCGGTGCAGCGGTCAGAGTGGTGGCCACCTTAACGTGTTGGGTGCCATGAGAATGAATCAGTTGCTGAGGTGCAGTGACCGAAGTAAGGACACCACTTACTGTTATGGGAACTGAACTCATCGATGACACGTGTGCTGAGGTGGGCGGCGGTGGAGATGGTATGTGACTTGAAGGTGGACTCGTTGGTAGTCCATTGAGGGCTGGCATTAATGATGTCGGCGAATGTAAATTAACAGATGACGGACTTTGAGGTGAGCCTTGTCTTAATGTATAGTCGTAACCATTGGTCGGCGACAGACTCTTGTCCGGGGAATGTAATCCGTTTGAGTGATAGGGCGGAGAGGGTATTGTCGTTGAGTGGTGTGAATGAATCCCGCCGTTTGTGTTAATGATCTGAGCGGCCGACACATGATGGTGATGGTGATGGCCTGTGGTAACACCAAGAGTTGGTGACATGTTTGACATGTTCATACCTGCAGCTGCCATAGCTGTACCTAATTTGTCGTATTGGTATTGATTAGCATTCATACCAAGACTAGTGTTTTGCATATGCATTAAAGTGAAGCCCCCGTTGCCGGGATGGCCATAATGGTGGGTGAACTTGTCGGACATGGTTGAGATCGGCGGTAACGGTTGTAGTGGCGTTAATGTGGCGTAAGAACTGGATGTAGTGAAGCCCGGAGGCGTCATTCGCCCGTTAAGTGTCTGATAGGTGGGCTCGGAGAGCACCCCCCGAAAGTCACTGGCATCAATCATACCGCTTGATACGGGAACTGTTACCACGTCCGATACGTCGGCTTCAACGTCTGGTTCTTCACAATTATCAACTTCTTCGTCTATATCATCGACAACGTCACCATCAGGTGAGTCGGTAACAGCTCTATTGGCGGCTATTTCATCAGCGATTTCATGGGCCGGCAATAACTCTGGAGGTTCAACACAACTGCCAACACTATCGACTGACTCGACTGTTTCGATGTTATCAACTGTTGGGACACCGCTTTCATCACTGTGGTTGTCATCAGCACTGGTATGACTGCTGCCACCGCCCATTTGCTGGTCGGCCAACTCTGAGCCCATGTTTTCCATGATTTGCGCGCTTCGATCCGTTTCAATGGCAATCAAAATGCATCGACCGCTACAACAACAGACACTCCTAAAGCACTCCTCTACCAGTCTGTCGATGAAATTTAACGATCGGTTTAAAGGGTTCGTCAAAGAAGCAGACAATCGTTATATCGATAGCGCCAGCGATGGGAACTTACACAACCTGGTATTGTGGCTAATACTCAGCCATTTTAGCGATTGGATCAAACCATAAGCTTCAATTGGTTCAAACACCAAAATACATACACACCATCAGCACCACTACCAAAGCAGGAGGACTATGACTATAAACAACGGCATCCACTTGTACTCCAAGTGCTCACAATTGCCATTCCATACATCTCTCGTCTACCACTCTCTTCTAACTCATGTAACGCATGCCTACATTGCATTCTCATCACAAAAACTGTGTTCTAAGTGCTATACGTATTGTATGTTTTGTTATATATGCTCTCTATTTAAAAGTCTACTCTATTTTGCTCTACTATTGGCACCACATCTCTAAAAAACCAGTGCTTTGTTATGTTTTGACTGTCAATGCAGTACTTAATCCAATGAGAAGTTTATTTGAGAAGCATTTGCAACAAAATGTCTTCTTTTTAGAGTCAAATGAATGCCATTTGAAATACAGGTATTCATTGACACGATTTTTGACAATATGTTTGATTTCGGCGGTGATATGTGTCTCAAGAGTTGCCACTCTTATAGTCCACACATCACTCACATGTAATTTTGTGAAAGCAGACGAATTTCCGATAAATTTGATTCTCAAATCGATAAATAATTGTGATGTGAGTGCGATTCATGCCTTTCCTCCAGTCATGCTCACCAACCATACCATACAATATCATACCACACACACACACACACACACACACACTAAGCACACAAAATAGATAAGCGCTTTCAATGTTTCAAAACAAAAAATAAATATTGTGTGCAATACCTATCCCTCAGCTGATATTAATATATGATGTTAGCTCTCCATCGATATCCCTTTCCCTATGTTTTATAAACAAAGAGTCGGCAAAAAATAATAGACTGCAAACATCAACATAGTTTAATAAAAATACAAAAATAATATAATTTCTTAATTACAGTATAATGTTAACCATTTAAATACATATATGATATAACTGTTATTTTGTTTTATTATATACAATATATCTAACATTTTTTACAGCTATATAAAATTGTTTAATTTGTTACCCATTCAATCTGATATTAATCAAAATAATTAGTTTATCACAAATTTACCGATAGCTTCAAACATTCAATAATTTTCTCATTACAACTTGATATTTATAATTAGCATATATTATACACTACTATACTAACTACTGTGCTATACTTTATTTTTTTCAACTACTAATATACATTTAATTATAGTGTTATACCAATTATTTATTATATAATAAAATATATTATTGTATTCATATGCCTAACTGTAAGTCATGAGAAATATCACATTATTTCTAATTTAAATACAACTATTCTGTAGTATGTAATAGTAATAGTTAAAATATATATACTGTATATTTAAATGTCAATCCCTCTATAATATATTTTATTTTATTTTTTGAATATTGTATATAAATATGTTTTTTATTGAAAGACACGAAAGTTTCGTTTTAGGCCAAAGTTTGTTACATAAATTTTTGCTAAAAATAGAGTGACTGTATTTGAGAGAGACTTTTGTGATAAAAACACTTGAATAAAGAGGACAAGAGTTGATGATATATACAGTATATTATAAAAGACTAGATGTGTGTGTGTGTGTGTGTGTGTGTGTGTGTGTGAGTGTGAGAGAGAGAGAGAGAGAGAGAGGTTTTGTTTTATTCACTGCTATATTATAGTGCGTGAACTCAACTCATTCTTTATAATGTGTTTTACTCCGGTATTACTGACTATTATTGTTGAAAGTGGAGGACATTGGAGTGGTTGTGAATGTGAAGGGAAAAAGTAGATATAGTTAGACATACTATGATTAGTTGTTAACAGTGAATCAGTTGGTTTGTGAGGGGAGAGTCAGAAAGAGAGAGAGAAAGAAAGAAAGAGAGAGAGAGAGAGAGAGAGAGAGAGATCCGCTGATATAACATAGCAATTGTATGAATCTGACAAAACAAAAAAAAGTAAAGCACAGCACAAACTGGTGGAGCATATCATGCAATGCCGTGTTGTATGAGTCAGTAGTAGTTGTGCTGTTGGCTATACCAATGGTATAACACTTATAATTAAAACAGGTCTACAATTCATTGCCAACTATTCTCCAGCTTAGGGTCTATCAGCTTATATTTAAACAAGTGATTGTACTTATACTTTATTATTGTAGTGTATTTTTATATACGATATATATTTTTTGTGAAAATTGGTTACTATTGGATACTTTAAAAAAATTTCGTTTTAAAACTAATAATAAAAACATTGGTTTATATATTTTATACTCATTTATTTAACTATAAATATCACAATATCCACACATTATATAAGTTATATACAAATGTGTTTATTTAAAAATTGTATTTTTTATTATATTTGAACTCTCATGTCATTAGCTTAATGTAGATTACAGTTGACAATACAGTAGACTACAAAACTAATATTTAAAAAACTTTATTACTTTTTATTAGTTTTACGAAAGTTTTATATATATTAATAATATACCTGTTAGACATCAACCTATGTTTATTTTACTAAACAGTAAAAGTAATGCAAAGAATATACTGTATATTCATTGAATGAATTATTTGTTTGTTTTCATATATATGATGATTGGGTGGTTTTATTATTAGGTTTAGGATCAAAAGTTTGATCTCTGAGCCCTAAAATCGCCCAAACATTATTAAATTGTCACTATTTTTATGAATATATTCTGTAATATATTTAATATGGAAATATATTCAAAAACATTGCAAATATATGACCACTAAAATGCTAATCAAGTTTACGATCCAATAAATAACAACTCATTGTTTATTATTATTGTATTTCAAGTTCAGTAGTGTTTAACCGTTTGAATGTATGATATATTTGTCGTACCATTCATTAGCTCCCCTTTAATGCCTCTTTTCCTTTCAGCACTATTACAATCTATTCATTCATTTAAATGGCAGTCCCTATAAATTAAGCCAATTTTCACATTCACACTACTATTCCTTTCAAATAAACTATTTTATATCATTTTGTATATAATAGTGAGTTATTAACGGTTAACGTAAAAATTAAAAACATTAATAACTATGTTTTTTGTGTACTATTTACACCAAAAACACAGTAATGTATAAAACACACTAATGTGTGTAAAGTAGAAGAGATATCAAACTTTTTTTTCTTCTTTTAAAGGTTTATATTTAAATCACTGTAAAGTTTGTTATGAGAAAATGTCTATCTTTTTTAGAGTATATGTATAATATATTGTCAAAAAGTTAGTTTTTCATGTGCTTTAATAGTAATATAGAAAAGTAAAGAGATTGTGTCATTGAACCAGTTTAACAATACACTGTTATGGCAATTGTGATCGCAGGTGGTGTCTCATTGTGTAATACAGTGTAATACTGGTCCCTATATTTTGCTATACTAAAGGCATACTCACTTACGGTATAATTTTGAGACACTAGGATATGAGCACATATACACATGGATTTAATAGTGATATATACAGAATATTCATATAATTTTGAAGCAAACATTGGATTTTAAGTGCAAAAGGAAAACCTTTTTTTTTTTATAATGCCTTATATGATGTGTCTGCTAATGTAGTTCTGCAGCTGTTTATCTATATTTTGCAAATTATTTTGATTGGAAAAGTATTGCTTATAATAGTCTACTATTTTGTTTTTTACAGACATTTAAATATATTTCAATATATGTTATTTTGTAAAATTATTTCAACAAAGAAAGTTGAACAAAACACAAAACGTCTATATATTGTATTATACGCAATCAAAATTGGTTTATAAGATATAAGTCCTGCATAGAAATAGGCAATAAAAAAGGGATATATGAGAGATATGATAATCATAACGGTAATAAAATGCACATATAGTAGTAAATATCCCGGTGCTCAGTAATAGACTCCCTACTGGAATGCTTTACACACAAAAATTTGCAGTAAATTTGTGTATAACATAAAAATATTAAAAACAACACTTTCTTATTGTTTATAACACTATTGTAAAATACGTACAAATGTAATGTTATGTAGTTTTCAATTTTATTACTAATAAATGTCATAAAATTTATATATTATATAACACATTGATTCAGACTTGACAATTTTATTCATTAAAATTTTGATATGTTTTATAAATATTTAAAAAAAAATAATTAATGCATTTAATTTTAGCGTAAATTAAATTTATAAATCATATAATTTATAATAATTTTAAAACAATTTTATTTATTAATAACAACAATTGTAAGCTTTAGAAAATATAATATCACCACTTTTTAAACTAACTCATTAAGATAATATATGGTATATTTAAATTAGAATAATTTTTTTATTAACATTTTAATAATTATTACAATATATTACAAAAATTTTATTAGTTTATATTAATTTATTATTATTTTAAGATTTGTAATTATTAAATTTTAAAACAAATCACTAAAGGATTTAACATATACAGTATATAAATAACTATGAATAATTAATTTACTAAATATTATTGTATCTTTATGTATTGTATAGATTTGTTACATTTATTGAACTCTCTCTCTCTCTCTCTCTCTCTCTCTCTCTCTCTCTCTTTCAGTTATTTGAAAAAAACTATAGACAAAATGTAGAAACTATTTTCAGTTATCATAATAAAGTTAATCGGGAGATGACTACTACAACCAAATAGTAATATTGCTTTTATGACACTTTATATTTATGAATAACATGACTACCCTTTCATATCTATCTATACACTATTTCCTTGCATTTAACATTTAAAATTTAGTTTAATTTAAAAACATTGTATCGTTTATTAAATTTTTCAAATGTATTGTAAGTAAAAGCAATTCTAGTTAACACATTATTACTACTATATAATTTGCTATATATAAATTACTATATATAGTACTGTCTAATAATAGTAACTTTGAAGCCCCTCATAATCATTGCTTTTATGATTTCTGGTAATAATTTCAATAATGAGATTCATTTGTGATTAATTCATATCGTTGTTCATCCTTTTCTTAACCCAAACAATAAGCAGTGTCTTATCTCAACTAATTTTTCAAAATAAATCACTGGCATTACATTAGTTTATAGCAGCTATAATACAATTTATATACACATACATACTCTGCCTCTCATTAATATAAAATTCATAACCCGTTTCCCTCTTTTATCTATAGGGTTTACTCTCTTTTGTGAATAATAAATAATATTTTTAAATAAACAGTTATATATATTATATAATTTATATATATATATATATGAAATAGCAATATATGTGAAATACACTTAAAAGAATTTAATTGAAAACATTGTCATTAATTAATTCAAACAATTTAGTGTTATTTTTATTTATATCTTGAATTAGATTTTTTTAAAACTAAAAATCCCATTTAATATTTAACAAACTATACTGTGTTTGTTATTGTTGGTAATTAATTGTAATTTTCAGACAATTGTTAAATAACATAGAAATAATTCTGTCTTTTTTTTATTCAATTAGAATTTAGAAAAAAGTTAAACAAAATTTAGTTAAACAAAAATTTAACAGTAATTAACAATAATATTGTTATCTTTTTAGACATGATATTTGAATGTATACTATAGTTTGAATAAATATATTATATATTGTTCACTATCCAAGAAATATAATACTATTTTATATAATAAAGTATGTGATAAAAGACAATTAATATTTTTTTTTGTTAAACCTTTTTCATTTTTTTGCTTAAAAATATTACTACATAATAATAATACTATATGATAATATATATAATATTTTTTTTTTGATTGACTATTTTACTGATAAAAAATTATTAAATGATAAGACAAAATAAAAAATAAAATTATGTTATCTTAAAATGTCAACACACCAAAAAAAATGACAAAAAAAACTTTTTTTATTTTGTCTAAAATTGTCGAGTTTGATACATATTTATATTAATATGTAATACAATGGCGTTTATTAATTAAAAATTGTTATGAAATTTAATACAAAATGTATTAAATATATTATATCAAATATTATATCATTTTTATATAAAATGAAATAACATTGTTTTGGGAAAAATTTGATAATTTTTATTATATTATAATAAATGTCAAATTAAACATCGAATTTTGTGGTTTATTATATAATCTATTTTTATTTAAACTAAATTTGATAAAAATTGTTGACATAATGGATGATCAATATATAGAAAAAGCTATTAAAACATATGATATCCAAAACAATAGTAATGACTGGTATTTTAGTTCAATCAGCAGATATCAAGCGGAAGACATACTAAAAAACAATGGTTTGTCTGACGGCTTATTCTTAGTCCGTCAGAGTGTCTCTTCAGTTGGCGACTATGTTCTCAGTTGTGTACATAAAGGATCTGTAGTTCACTATCAGATTCAAAGGATAGGTACCGATCCTTTCTTTACAATCAATAAACAGGATATTTATCACGGATTGGATGTGCTTTTAAAACACTTGAAAAAGATTAATGACAGCAATGATAGCTTTTTTGTCCCAAAAGATTATTGTCGAGGCATTAATCCGCCTGAAAACGACATTTTAAAGCCCGATCGGACTAATCTTTTGCATAGAACAGTGGCCAGTGGTCTGCAAACATTGGTAAACGACATTTTATGTGCCGAAAACATACCAAACTTAGAGGTCAGAGATGAGTTGGGTCGGACAGCTTTGCTTATAGCTATGAATTTGGATGAAATAAAAGGCTATCAAATAGTGAGACAATTGATTAAAGCAGGCGTTGATGTCAATAGTAGAGACTTTGAATCTATAACTGCATTACAGTTATGCGCGAAACTTAATAAACCAGTTTTTGCCAAATTATTAATAAACGAGGGAAAGGCCCGAACCTATGACCGAACTATAGGCCAAAAATGGGTTGCAATGCATTTCGCTGCTTATTATGGAAATATTGATGTCTTAAAACTATTACTAGAGTCGGGCGCTGCCCCTCAACCGCGTGACGCTAACAACAATAGACCCGCAGATATAGCCTTTCAATTAAAACACATTAAGTGCCAAAAGTTATGTGACTTTTATGCCAATCGACCGGTGTTTGCATTTAAGCATAAAAATCAATGGCTTTATGAGCACTTAAGAAGTAGGTATTCGACCAATAAATTGTTTGAAATCTCATCGATGAGAGAGGGCTCATACCTTGTTAGGAGAAGCGACACAAAAAAAGGCAATTATGTGCTCACCGTTTCGTGCACTCAAAAGATTTATAACTTTGAGATTCAACACAATTTTAATCACTATTATATAGACAGTGGGCCCTACTGGCCCTCATTAGAGCATCTGATTGACTATCATATGAGAAATAGTGATGGCCTACCCTCAAGACTGAGTGCACCCGTTTCATCGTTTATCGATATATCGACTAATGAAATGTTAATTCATGGCATAACTACAAACAAAACGGCTGACAGTGTCTATAATGAGCGTAACGATCACAACAAAGAGTTGAAATCAATTTTATTCATCAATAAAAATGATGTAAAAACTGGTTCATTGATTGGCAACGGAGAGTATGGACTGGTATTTAAAGGAGTTTGGAGTAGGGCTTCAAAAAACGAGATCTCAGTTGCCGTTAAATTATTGAGTCAACAGGGCTTACATACGAGACATCTAAATAATATTTTTATTAAAGAAGTGGAAACCATGGCATGTCTTAGACATGAATACATCATAAGACTGTTAGGCGTATGCATTGGACCGCCATTAATGATGATACAAGAGTTGGCGCCAATGGGCAGTCTTGTAGACTATTTGACTGATAAACCTAATGGTGTGGACATCACTCGTCAATTGAAACTTTGGTCCATTCAAATAGCAATAGGTATGCGATATTTAAAGAGTCAGCACTTTGTTCATCGAGATCTGGCCGCCAGAAATGTATTGATTGTGTCATTAAAGCAAATTAAGATTTCCGACTTTGGCTTATCTCGTGCTCTTACTCGAGATCAGGCCATCTATAAGGCTTCCAATGGTGATCGTTGGCCAATCAGATGGTATGCACCGGAATCGCTAAAGTACGGTATATTCACTCACGCATCGGATGTTTGGTCCTATGGCGTGCTGTTATGGGAAATGTATAGTTATGGTGATGAACCGTATACCGATGTGGAGAACCGGGAGATAATTAGATTTATTGAGAGAGGAAAGCGACTATCAAAGCCTGACTTGTGCTCCGATTTAGTATTTGCATTGATGTCTCTTTGCTGGTCTTTAGATCCATTGAATAGGCCATCATTTGATGAAATCGTTCAAATCTTATACACTAATGACTGCACTTATGAATCAATGAAAGATGATATCAAAGAGACGATTGATATGTAATTTTATGATATGTCATATGGATATGTCTCACAATTTATGACTATATATTAATATATGTTCGTCTAATGTCTTCAAATCGATGTCTCCAATAGTCTTAAACTCGTTCTCTATTCCTGTACTTAAAAGTCTTGACAATTAGATATATATGTTTAAAGCGTTTGCCATCATTTATACGAGTCAGTCGACAGTGGGTGTAACCCTACATAAGTGTAGGGCATCCCAAATGTGTGGACCAGTTATGCCGAGCACTGGTATGTGTATGGATCACATCATCATCAAGTGTGTAGCCCATCAAACGACACATTCTTGCAAATATAAACTTTAATATTAATGAAACATTTGACTGAAATATTATTAAAAGTTTATGGATGAATTACATTCAATATATTAATATAATATTATTTGTTGAATAATTTCTAGAAAAACTTTTATTTTGTTGATTTGCAAACTAAACTCTATATTCACTGATATTGTACTTAGTTTTCAATAGTCATCCCAGTGTTTCATTTATTAATATAAATATATACTGTGTATACTGTGCCGGCACTGTAAGATTGAATGTTTTTATTGCAAAAATGTAGCCAAATCTCTATACATCCCATACATACACAATCCCAATATCTTTAATTTTCTATTATTACAATGGATTGTATTTATATTTTTTTAAAATGACAAAACACTGTTAGCTTTGCATATAATAATGTATATTATGAGGGGTAAACTATCTGAATATAACTCTCTTACATGTAATCAATATGAATAGTCTTCTAAATAAAAAGATACCCTTTCCTGATAGGTCTGTGCGATAGGTTTAGGCTTAATGTCGACTTTAAAGCAAACCTTTGTATCCGATAAAAAAGTGGTGTTGTGTTTAACGCGTATAACAAAAAAAGTGATACAAACTGTGTGTCAATACAATGACATGTAATAATGCATACATTAGCCGATGATATGATTGAGTTGTGAGAGACACTAATGTAAAGGAGGAAACACTACTCCACTTGTAATTTGGTTTATAATCTATTTTCTCGTGAATAGCATTGAGCTCTTGAGCTAAACCAACAACACTTACAGTTTAACACATAAACAGTATAAATGTATATATACTGTATAAATATATGTATAAAAAATCAATCAAATATTTCTCATATATTATAATAACTGCTAAAATATATTGATGTTTGCATAATAATGTGAGTCTCTCTTTCTTTTTTTGCATAATATTTGAAAGTTTGTCCAAAAAATTTAGTTTTCTGTTTGTTTGATAAGAATATAATGTTAAGTTTATGGATTTTATTAAATAGCATTTTTAACCAATTTTTTCTATATATTGTAAACCAATAGTCATTTTGATGTTAAAATAAATATTCACATTTATTTTTATTAATAGCTTATTTTTTGTTAAATTTATAAACTTGGATATTAATAGCTATGTTATTTATAAGATATTTATTCAATAATTTAAGATCAATACATTTTTATCTTTAATAAACTACTGTATGTATTAATAATATATTTGGCTCTAATTTAAAATGTTAGATAAAGTGTAATCTTTATTTATGTAAAAAATAAATTATAAATAGCAAAATATTATTTTTTATTTTAATAAAACAATTGTTTGATTTATCATTAATATTTTTGTTTTGTTTAAGTAACTTCAATGAACTTAATTATAATATATTTTTAAAGGTATAAAATACGATTATTGTAGTAATTATTTGTTACATTTATAATTAAATTTTATTTATATTATTAAAACCTTAATATACAATAATAAGAATGTTTTGCTAAATAAAATATTTACAAAAATAAAATATTAAATAATATTAATTTTCTATTTAAATTAAATTATTATTTATGAATTTTTATAAATTAATTAATTATAGTTTATTTAAATCGTAGTTAATTATATTTTTATATTATATAAAAACCAAAAAAATCATTATATTATTATTTTTTCACTTTTCCTTATAATATTTTACGTACTGTTCTATGAAAATAATATTACATAAAAATATACGAAAATCAAAATCATTTAAACCTTATATTATAATTTAAATTAAATTTTTAAAAGTTTAAAAATATAAATATTGATATATTAAGTTTATCCAAAAAGCAAATTATAATGATAATAATTAAATTATTATTTTTGTTTACTAAAAAATTGTTATTTAAATACATATTTAAATTTGATTTATTAGCTTAATGATAAATTGAATATTGTTTTTAAAAATGACATTTTTTAAAGCAAATATATGATATTTTATTTGTCATATTATATGATACATAAATTATATAAAAATTTATAATAACTTATTTTTTAAATCAAACACAAAATATATTATCTATTAATCAATAGGTGTCAGTACTGATCATTTAATTTAATGTTTTTGTTTACAAAATGTTTGGCAATTCAATCACTTTTATTATTATATGGTATTATTATATCGTTTATAAAATAACTGTGTATTTAATGATAATAAACGTTTAAAAACTAACAAAAATATGTGTATTTTTGTTATTAATATTATTGTTTTATAATTTATTTGTTGTTATTATTATTAATATTACTATAAATATAATAATTTTTAGCCACTATATTGTATATCATATTATAATTATTATATAAATATATTTAATATAATAATTATATTAATAAAACTCATAATAATTTGTTTGCCATTTATTCATGAATTAAATTGTTTTATATAATAATAATTATTGTATAAAAATATTATATTTTAATGGCTTTTAATTATATAATAGTTTTGATTTCAAATCAATTGTCTTAAATAGATATAGTTTTCAATAAAATTTAAATGTTAAACAAATCGGTGATTAGTGGACATCGGTGTTGACCACAACTACTACAAGAAAATGCCGACCAAAACCTTTCTGAAGGACTTATATATCGCCAAATCATTGGAACTGTTGACGAAAAAGGCAGAAGAAAGCAACAAAAACAATGCAAATACCAATAGGTTTGACCATTGATTTGATAGTAATTGTTGTGATTGTGTCCATTGATTGGTTGTTTTTGTCCCAATAGTCTCCTGAATTCGGCCAACAAGTTGTACTCCGAGGCCAAGCGTTCGCATATCGACGGCGACGAAGAACGCGCTTATATTCTGTACTATCGGTACTTTCAAACAATTAAAACCATCAAACAGTCCAACGATTACAAGAAAGATGAAAAGTATTACTCGGGACTTATCGGACTCAACAAACTCAAAGAAGTGGTCGAAACATTGGAAACGCTGGTCGAAAGTCTTGTTAAACGATATAACACACTCAAAGAAAGTCTTGAGATGAGAGCTAAAGAGATCAATGAGTCAAACGCCGTCGTCAACGATAATTTGTCCAATAAATCAAGTGATTCATCAAAATCAAAGAGTAGTGACACTAATGATAGTGACTATCCAGTGATCGATAGCGTATCACTGGTTGAACACCTGGAAAACAGTTCAGATATTAATAAGATATTAATTATTGATATCAGAAGTGCTGATGAGTTTAACAAATCGTCTATTAGTATAAAGAAAGTGAAAACTTCAGCCGATGTTAATGTTATTAATATTCCCAATAATTTATTAGTGGCCGGAATGACGGCCGCAAAACTTGACCAACACTTGCCATTTGGTTCGGATAAAGATGTTTTTTCAAGGAGAAGATCAATGACTAAAATTATTATTGTCGACAATCACTCACAAGAATTGATTGCTAAGACTCCGATATATTATTTAATTGAAGCTATTTATAGGGTATTTATTATTGTTTATCAATTGAAAACTTTTAATTTACGATTTTGAATGTCTATACAGTGGGACGCGTCGTCGCTTAAAATTAAAAACAAACCGTTTATATTGAAAGGAGGTTTTATAGATTGGACGCTCACATACCCCATGCATACAACAAACCCACAATACAAACCAATAACTAGGAGTATACCTATTAATCGATACCAAATGAACTTAACCTTTAATTATGAATTAAGTGAATTGGAAACGGAGATCAAAAAACCAGAAAATACTAATTTAGTGAATACTGTGACCGATAACAATGCAGATAATAAATCAGATATTTCTGCTAATTGTATTAATAATATATTTAATTCCAAACCAACTAATATGGCCGTTCCGGGAACAGCTAAGCCAGTGATTCCCGATCGGTCAACTAAACCAAAATTACAAACAGAAACCATAGCTGATGTAATGAATACTACCGGTAATGCTATAAAAGATGATTTTGAAAAAATAAAACTCAGAAAACAGAATGAGATCAGCGAAGAAATGATATCAACTATAAGACAACAATATGAAGAAACCATTGAAAGCTTTCAAAAAGATATTGAAAGTAAAGACAAAGAGAACACGCATTTGCGCCAAACTGTCATTAAATTAATGCCTCAAAAACCATCCCATTTGGTTAACAATAGTAAGAACAAAGAAAGTCCAGTGGTTAACATCAATGGTAATATCAATACTTCTAACAAAAGGAATGGCTTTTATCTAAAAGTTGATGAATCCGGAGATGAAAATAAAGAAAATACTGAAACACATGATATGGATAGCTCTACAATTGACGATGATATGAATGGAAAGCCTATTCCAACAATTAACAGATCAATGAACCGGTCGTCGAATAGTTTGTCAGTGAGTTCAAGTCTATCCCGTTCCCTGTCGTCACCAAATATGCTTGAGTTGATCGCTAAAGAAACAAACGGTAATTTGACTGATGATATGGGAATTGAATCAAAAGAAGTGTCGTCTCCACACTTCGATCGTTCACTTAAACCAATGTTTAGTATTGAGAAATACAATTTCCAAGAACTTGATAACAAACAGCGAGACTTTAGTGCCGTCCGTAGACTCGCCGGTCCTTCGATTACTGGACTTAGAAATCTTGGAAATACCTGTTTCTCTAACGCTGTCATACAATGCTTGTTAAATACAACAGAGTTTTCTTCATTTTTCAACGGAAAGTTTAATATAAATAAAAACTCCAAATTTGGTTCAAATGGTGAACTGGTTATAGAATTGGCAGCACTTTTCAGACAAATGGCTTTTCCTTCTCCATACAAGTCTTTGGCCGCTAAAGACTTCAAGAACGCAGTTTGTAAGCACTTTCAAGGCTTCATTCCGGGCCAACAACAGGACGCTCACGAATTTCTGGTCAAACTCCTTGAGAAACTACATGAAGACCTAAATGAGTCTACTATTAGGGATATCGATACAAACATATCGGAAGATCTCAGCTTACAAGTGGCGGCCAACAAGTTCTGGAAAAATCATTTGAGAAAAAATAAATCAATTATCACTGACCTCTTTGAAGGATTTATTGTAAACTCACTCATGTGTTTAACCTGTCATAAGACTTCCAACACATTTGAAGTATTTAGCTGTTTGTCATTACCATTAGGTAATCATAAGACAACTTTAAATGATTGTATCCGTCAATACTTCAAACCGGAACGTATGTCGGGTGAGGCCGCCTGGGAGTGTCCGACATGCAAACAGAAGAGAGAAGCAGACAAAAAGATACTTCTCTGGAAACTACCGAAAGTATTAATAATTCATTTGAAGAGGTATTGTCTATACAGTACAGTATATACTGTAAATTGATACTAAATTTTCATTTTATTTTTTACATTCAATAGATTTTCATATGAAGGCCGTTGGAAACTATCGACTTATGTTGAGTTCCCCATCGATGAACTACAGATCCAAACCAGTCAATCAAGCGTACAGTCCCGCTATAATCTGTACGGTGTTGTCAATCATTCGGGAACTCTTGAGTGCGGACACTATACGGCATATTCACAAAACCTAAGTAAATACAAATGGCATAAATTTGATGACCAGGAGATCACACAAATTAATGTAACGGAGATTAAGTCTCAATCGGCTTACATATTGTTTTATCGATGTGTATAATAAACACATCATTGTTTTTATTTTTGTCAATAATTTAATCTTTTAAAAAGCATTACCATTTCAATCGATTTAAATGATTTCAAAATGTTTATATATATATATATAGTAAATTAAATCACCAGAAAATCAATTGATGTTATATTTTAATAAATAAAAAGTTTATTATTATAAATTTTATCATTATTGCAATAATAACAAATACTGACCACTGGGTTAAATAATTTTATTGTCGATACAATCATTTTTCAGACTCACTATCCCACGAGTGGTCACTCCAACCGACCTCATCATTGGTCGGATCATTGGCCGCAAACATATTCGTAATATTTTTAATGGATTTATCTGTTTGTTGGCCAACAAAATGCTTTTGACTAAATTTGAATACCGGTTCCATAGATGAAAACAGATCGTCAATTTCATTCTTCTCTACCTTAATATCTAATCCTTTAATATCTATTTCACTTTCAATAGTATTATTATTTTTCATTTCCTTTGGTGTCTTTATTTGCAAATCTTTTGCATTCATAGACAACACGTTGTTATTTATCGATGTCTTAATTGTTTGCACTTCTATATCATTAATACAACTATTTTGTTGTATACTATCAATCAATTTATTGCACTCATTATTTTCATATCTCTTGTCACTCTCTGATGAATCAGTTATGTTAAGACTTGTTATGGAATCGATTTCAATTTCATCGCATGGATTGTGTTGTTTGGGTAATCCATCAGAAAATAACTTAACTCTTGGACCCAACACAACAGTGGCACCAAAAATGCTAACCAAATGCGAAATGACTTTAAATGTAAGCGAAACTAACTCGTCGTTAGAGTCTTTCACTGCCATCAAAATTTGTGGTAAAATTAGTTGTCGAAGACATCCATTTGATATCAATGGGGCATAATTTGGCAAATATTGCAATAGTAATAAACGTATCCTTAAATCTCTGTTGCAATACATCTTACATATTAATGGAATGACACGTCTCTTAAAAACTTTTCTTTTTAATAATGGTCTCAATGTTATTGATTCTCCTGAAGTCAATTGATATAACATTTCTTCATCGGAATCATTGCCTGGAATTAATACAAATGGTAACAATTGATTTTGAATTGTTGTATTAGACATAATAAGACGAGAATTGACTATAAATGAAATTAAATGCACAATAAGTTCATCAGACAATTGTCTCATTTTGTCGACTAAATCATTAAGAAATTCATTTCTTAGCGATTCATTAAAAGTGGTAAAACTTGTTAAAAATGACTTCAATTTGACAAACTCTGACTTTACAAACAAATCATCGTTTAAAACATGTTTCATAAGCGGTCTCTTCAATGGACTAACATTTCTTAATTGTTCAATACTTGTTGAGATCTGAGAGTCGGCCAACAATTTGCTTAATAGTTGTCCGAAAGCATAGGTATCTCTTCGATAGATTTCATCATTTTCTAAGCGTTTTATTTGTTTAGATTCAGTATCTTCTGGCGGCAGTGTATCTAAAGTGGCTAACACTGAGTGATACTTCAATAGTTTGTGGCAAAAGTCGACAGTTTCTGAAGTAGAAGTACTTAAACACAAGAGTGAACCCAATTTCCAGCAATCGGTCCGTTCCGAGCGGTTTATGAATAGAGAGTCCAAACTTATATTATTGACTGAAGAGTGACATATCGTGTGAATGAAATCCAAAGCACTGACCAAATTGTGAACACCGCTGACAATCACTTCTTTGTCCAATTGTTGCAACAATGGCTTAACCGGTTGAACCCATTCGGTGACCACACACTTTCGGCCACGAAATAGACCGCAATCATAATATTTCACTATAAATGGGTGACGGATTGTCTTCCAGTGCTATCATATCAAACAAATTAATTGCTATTTAAAGACAAATATCTTATATTTTTCAATCAATTTCTTACAGTGATATCAAAGGCATAGTTGTGATCATTGAAGAGAAAAACGGAGAAATGGTTTGAATCGTATTTTGCACTCAAAAGTGAATAATCTTTGCATTTGTATTCAACCTCTGAATCAATGGTCAACTTCTTGAACAGACTGGTCTCGGCCCCCATCAATGACAACACTAAATCAATGGATCAATTGATGTGATGTTTTAGACAATATATAAGCATTGAGTCATTGATTGAATGTATTGATTGTTATGTTGTTTGTAGTGTTGATTCAATTGATTCACAAATACATTGTCAACACATTCACTGTTTGCGCGATTTTCAAACAAACTGACAATTAGTTAGAAAATAGTTTTATTAAATGACAACTATTTTTAGTATATTTTTAATTTATAATATAGATATAGATTATTCAGAAATATGCTAAATATAAAAATTACTTTAGATTTAAATGAATTATTAAAATTATTTATTATAAAATGTTTATAAATACTGTAATTTACAGTATTATTTAATAAACATTTATCAATTTTGCATTATAATAATTATTCAATATTTTTTATATACTCTATAATTATTTTATTTATAATTAAGTTTTTCATAATATTAATTATTAGAAAATAATAGGAAAACTAATATAACTTATTATATAAGATTGTTAAGTCAAATAACTTATGATATATGATATGTTTGATCAGTACTATCCTATCCTATCATATATCATACTTTAACATCACTGGGATTATTATTATTGGATTATTTTTGTTGTTAAAACCCATATTATTATAGCAAATATGTTATAATTTAATAAAAAAATTAATAAACTATTTATAATTTATTAAAATATAATGTTTTATATATTAAAATTGACCATGATACACTTAAAGATACACTTAAAGATACACTTAATGATACACTTAATGATACACTTAATGATACACTTAATGATACACTTAATGATAAACTTTCAAAAATATTTTCATATATTTTACAGTCAAATGTGTGTAGAAATTATTCATTATTTTTATTACACGTTATTATAAATACGTTTCCATAGAGACCGACAAAAGTTTGCCGATATTTTGTTTATTAACACAAATATACACATAATATGCCACACAATCAATGATTTTATTAAACACTTTAGTAGACTATTGTTGTGTTAATTGTTATTAATAATTGAATAATTAGTTAATTATGTTATTGAATGCAATGTATAATTCAATTGTTTTATATTTATTAGTCATTATAGCGGATATCGAGTCCATGACTGAAGTGCTCAGACCTCGTGGAGTATCACTTGATAGTAACGATTGAATCAATTAGACAATTGATTATCATTTGTTTTAATGACTATTTTTGTTTGTTTTTATATCATTAGAGAAAATCTTTTACGACGCGAACAAAGACTTTCAATGTCTGGACGGCTCGGCTTCGGTGCCATTCATGTTAGTCAACGACGACTATTGCGACTGCGATGACGGCAGTGATGAGCCGGGAACTAATGCCTGTCCTAATGGACACTTCTATTGCTCTAATCTCGGATACATTGAACGGATAGTCCCTTCCTCTAGAGTTAATGATGGCATTTGTGGTAATGTTTTTTTTTAACGATTACTGTTTTTGAGTGCATTTTTGATGTAATATTTTTTGTTCCGATTTGTTGTCTAAAACAAAGACTGTTGCGATGCAAGCGATGAATACAATAGTTCGGCAAAGTGTCCAAACAATTGTCTCCAAATGGGTGAACAGTTACGACAGGAAAGGGAACAACATTTGATACTTCTTAAGGAAGGAAATGCCATTCGAGAAAAATATGTCGAAGAATCGAAACAGACTAAAGAGAACTCGAAACATGAGTTGGAAGAATTGAATCGTCAAAAATTGCAATTAGAAGAAGAAAAGAATGCTAAAGAAGCGATAAAACGGGACGCAGAGGATAGAGAAAAGGCAGCACTCGATGTCTATAAAGAAGCCGAAGACAAAATCAAGAAAGAGAAAGAAGAAGAAGATTTAAAACGCCAACAGGAAGACGAAATACGTTTCGCAGAACAAGCGTTCAAAGAGATGGATCTCAACAAAGATAATATTCTTTCCTATACTGAAGTCCAACAATTTATCAAATTCGACAAAGACGGCGACGGAACTGTTTCTGATGACGAGGCAAAGGTATTAAAAGGTATATCAATAGATAATTATTTAAATTTTATGTTTGATATTATTAGTTCTTCATTCACGCCGCAGAAGAGATGGGTCTCGAAGAGTTCATAGAGTCGGGTTGGGTTATAATGAAACCATTTTATATGAAAGATAAAACATTAGTATGTATTTTAAAATGTTTGCTTTGTGTTTTAATTTGTTTGATTGCTTTATTTAATGTACTAAACAATTGCTAATTTGGTTCACTAACAGCAAGACTTCCAAACACAAGAACAATCCGTTCCCTCTGAATCTGAATCAGTTCCTATTCCTCCAATTGATACTAACACAGAAACAGAGCATGAATCAGAAACACCTGATGAAACTGAACCTACGGTGAGACTAAAATAACTATTTTTAAGATAATTAAAATATTTAAAATCATATAAATATAAAGACTGAAGAAGATGAAGACGAAGATGAAGGACCGCCGCCTTTCTTTCCACCTAAAGATGCAGAACCTGAGGCATCGACAACAGAGGCGGGCACTGAATATGATGACGAAACCAAGCGATTGATAGAAAATGCTAAACAAGCGCGGGATGAGTATTCAGAAGTCGAGGGCAAGTTTCTGGACATTCAAAATAAGATACGAGAGATTGAAGTGTTATTCGAGACTGACTTCGGACCAAATGATGAGTTTATGGCACTGAAGAATCAGTGTTTTGAGTTAACAGATCTCGAATATACGTACAAATTTTGTCCATTTGATAGCGCATCTCAAAGACCTAAAAATGGTGGCACCGAAACTAGTTTAGGGTAAATACTAATATATATATAATTTTGCATTTATTTATAATCTACACTCTATTTAAATTTTGTTTAGCCGTTGGGGTAAATGGATTGGAGATGACAACAATAAGTACCGAAAAATGTTGTTTGAAGGGGGGGCTCAATGTTGGAATGGACCGGTCAGGACTGTTACCGTTAACTTGTCGTGTGGTACAAGCAATGAAGTGATTGCCTCATCCGAGCCCTCCCGATGCGAGTATGCGTTTGAATTTAAAACACCAGCCGTTTGCTGGACTCAACAACACTCAGATGATGAACGACACGTGCATTCAGAACTCTAATGACTTGTTTTAATGTTTTTGTTTTAAAGAAAAAATAGAAAAACCTTTTTACTAATTAGTTAATACATTAAAACATTTGGATATAATGTTTACTGGAATTACATTTAACTACAGAATAAGTCATATTGACTTTTATTTAAAAAAAACTAATCTATTTGTTATAAATGTTTTTTCTGTTTGTATTTTGAATGCATTCCAGCGTTAACTTTAATAAATTAGGTTTTAATTAATTTATATTAAATGAATTATAAATTATATATAAAATACTGTATATTCTATACATTGATGTCATTGAATACAATGTCAGTAGTGATGTAAATACTATTAATATGATTGCAATGCAATGCAATGACAAACTATGTATTAAATGTCAAATAACGCAAGTTTTAAATTAATACTTCAATGCAAGGACTGTATTGCTTGATATATATGTTGTTTATTATAAAAATAGCTTAAATATAGTAATGGATTTAAATATGATATTAAAGTTGTGTCTCATAAGAGTTAGCCCGGATAGCTCAGTCGGTAGAGCATTAGGCTTTTAACCTAAGGGTCCAGGGTTCGAGCCCCTGTTCGGGCGCTAACAATTATTTTGCTTTATTTTGATATTTATTTTTATTAATACTTTTACCAATTAATCATAATTTTTTTATTTTATTACTCACTTTATTATCACAATTGAAATAATTGTTTAAATGATTTTTTAAAACTAAATTATAATTTTGTTATATTTTGTTAATTATTGTAATATTGAAACAATTAGTCGATATTTATGTTGAATTCAATGACAAATGTGTATGAATTGAGTGAATGTATTGAATGTGTGTTTTCATTGAAACCTATTGTCAGTTGAAATGAATGAACGATTGGTTTCGCAAAACCATTGAATGAGTCAATCAATCGGTTATTAAGTTTGCCGTCAATTGTCTGTCGGTTTGTGTCTAAACTTGTGGTCACTTCGTGTGTCTATAAGTGGTGACAATCACTCGTTTCATATATATATATCATATATACTGTCTGTGAGTGAGTGATTGACACAAAGTAATGGCCAAACGAAAGAAGAGTTCGTCCGACAGTTCCGACGACGACGTGAAGGACATAAAGCCTAGTCGTGTGGCGTCAAGTGATTCGTCTTCGAGTTCTGATGAAGACGACGGAGATTGGAACGCAAAGAAGTCCAGTAAAGCTAAGACTAAGAAGTCTAGAGTCGTTAAAAAGAAACAAATTGAAGACGACATTGAAAAAGAAGACGGAGAAGTAGATGACGATGAAGATGAAGAAGATATTGAAGAGTTTAATGATGGCTACGATGAGAATCTAATGGGTGATGATGATGACCAGAAACGACTAGCAATGATGACAGAGAAGGAGAGGGAACAAGAATTGTTCAATAGATCCGAAAAGAGAGAGGTTTTGAAGACACGGTTTGAGATCGAAAAGAAGTTACGAATGGCGAAGAAAAAAGAAATGAATAAATCACAAACTGATGTATCGGTGAGGAGTACAGAGAGACGACGCAATATGGAGGACAAGAAGAAAGTCAAAGACGCCATCAAAGATCTCAAGTCTATCAGAGAAAAGAAAAAAGAAAAACTTCAGAAACAGCAAAGACTGCGTGCGGCGGATGTATATTCTTCTGATTCAGATTCTGACGAAGACAAGAACGCTGAAAGAAAGTCTTCATCGTCTTCTTCCTCTTCGTCATCCGATTCTTCGAGTGATTCAGAAGACGATAAGAAGAAGCGAAACGACGACAATAAGAAAGACTCAGATGATTGGGACGACAGAAACAGTGATCGCGAAGATGAAGCTGAGTCGTGGCAACTGACGTGTGAACACTTAAATGAAATACGTCTATCGAGACATAAAATGGAGTTATGGTGTCACTCGCCGTTCTTTAACACAACAATTATCGGTTGTTTTGTGCGAATTGGAATCGGTTTGGATCCGACCAACAAAAAGAACCGCTATGTGGTCGCACAGATTTCAGATGTCGTAGAAACGGCCAAAGTTTACAATTTGGGTCAAACACGTACTAACCGAGGTATCAAATTAAAGCACGCGCGACAAACCGAAAAGGTTTACCGATTGGAATACGTGTCGGACAGTGCTTACGAACAGAAAGAGTTTGACCAATGGTTAGAAAATATGAATAGAGACAGATGTGACATCATTTCCAAAGAGTTTTACGAACGCAAGAAACGTGACATTACTAATGCATTCAACTATCGGTTGAACGACGCAGAGATTGATGCCATTGTCGATGAAAAACGTAAATTTAATATAAAACCTGTTAATTATGCGATGAGAAAGAATCAATTGATGCGAGAAAAGGAATTGGCAGATCTTAATGGAGATCACGAAAAGGTTGAACGACTTCTTCAAGAGATTGATGATATCGAGTCCGAAGCTAAGACACTGGACAAGAAACGGACGCAAAATATAGCGGCCATTTCATACATTAACGAACGAAATCGTATGCGCAATATCTTAGAGGCCGAGAAGGCTTTGACTGAACAAAGTGCTGCTCAGAAGGCCTCACAAAAGGACGACCCCTTCACGAGACGCAAATGTACGCCAACTATGATTCATATGTTCAACAAAAATAAATTAAGCAATTCGTCAAACAAATTGGACAGCAATTTATTAGCAGTGGATGAATCTAAAGAAGAACCTAAAGATGACACAAAAAGTGAAGATGAAGTCAATGGTAGCAAAGATTTTGTGACAATCGATACCAATGTCGACACCAATTTGCTGCAAAAGACATCGGCACTGATCGCTGATAAGCCTCCGCTATCACCCGGACATCACAACGATCTGTTTGCTGCACATAATTTCGATATCAAAATAGACTTTGACGTTGATATAGGAATACCGGCGCCGTCTTCGGGCAATAGCTTAACAAATAATAATAATAGTTTGTCGACAATAGGGTGTCCACTCAACACTCCAAAGATACCGAATCGACGATCACTTAATTTAGACGAATATAAAAAGAAAAAGGGACTCATCTAATGATGACTTAAATTGACATTTAATTGATACATATTTTATGCATTGAATTGGAAGTAGTCTTATATGACAAACAAAGTATATATTTTAGTGTATTTTTCGTTTCAATTTATGGTTTATCTCATAAAATATGTTTTATTTTGTTTCCCATTATAATTAACGTAAAAATATTTGCCACAAAATTACTTATATTTTATTTTGTAATAGTAAATCATATTTTTCGTTATCAATCAATTGTATTCAAATAATAATAATAATGACATTAATGTTATTATTATCGGTATTGTGTTCAGAGATTTCAAGTAAAAAATATTACAATACTTTAAATCTTGTGTTTGGTGTAATCAAATCAATTGAACCATTAAATTAAAAAATCGTCATTTATTTAACATTTTATATTTAAACGCAAATTATTTATAATATTAGTGACAATTGATATTAAATTAAAGTTTGTAATTAAAAAATAAGAAAAAATAGTGAAATAAATAATAAATTGTAAATATTTTGGAAACATGTGTTTGCATTGAATAATCGGTCCCTTATTTGACACAAAATAAACAAATTGTTTTGCATTGAAATTTCCAACTGTTTTGCCGACACTTATTGTCAACACATTTGTGGCCATAAATATGGAGGACGAAGACTTGGAGGAAATGAAATTTTTAAGAGGTTTGTCATTAATTGATGTCATCAACAATTGAATGACAGCTAATTTGATTTGACATATCTTATAGATAAATACAAGTTGATGGCCGCCAGAGAAGAGCGACAAGTAGTCGGGTATAAGTTTGACATGAATTCAAAACATAAGAGGGAACAGTCGGTACCAAAAGGACTGACTGTGTCGACAGTGGACAAGAGTGATGACGGACACGACCAACAAGACTCTGAAATGGCAAAAGTCATGGGATTTGCAACCTTTGGGCGCAACAAGAGTTTGAAGAAAAATGAGACAAAAACTGCCCGAAAGTTTGATATCGAAACATTGATGTCTGAAAGACCTATTACTAACAAATGGAAACCATTGGGACAGTCGGATGATAACATTGATGAACAAACAAATGTGACAAATGATAATCAAATTAAAGCCTCGACCAGTGATGAGAGTAAAGCTGTAACGGAAATAATTGTACAAAAAGAGACAAAATTGACTCAAGAAGATGATTCAGATTCTGATTTGATTGGACCACCACTACCACCGGGATTCTCATTAGACTCGATAAACAAAGAAGAGAATAATGAAGATAATGATGACGAAGATGATGACGAAGAAGATGACGATGAAGATTATGAAGGAGAGTCCGGCGATAGATACCATGTTTTACCTATAAGTCATGAGATTGAACTGACTCACGGAACTAAATCTGTTATATCATTAGCTTTGGATCCAAATGGTTCTCGACTTGTGTCCGGAAGTGTCGATTATGAGATGAAATTTTGGGACTTTCAGGGAATGGATTCATCGTTGCAATCGTTTCGGTCGACCACTCCATGCGAATGTCATCCCATTAAGAATCTAGAGTTTTCCGCTAATGGAGACGTGATTCTTGTTATATCTGGTGCTTGTATTGCAAAAATTGTAGACAGAGATGGATTCGTGAAGAATGAAACACTTAAAGGCGATCAATATATAACAGACATGAATCACACCAAAGGACACATAGCAATGCTTAATTCAGGTGTTTGGCATCCAAGAGATAGACAAGAGTTTGCCACGTGTTCTAATGACGGCACGTGTAGATTGTGGGACATTGAGAACATCAAAAATCAGAAAACAGTTATTAAAGCGCGTTCTTCGGGAGGACTCAGAGCTATTCCAAATACTTGTCGATACACAAGAAATGCCGATTTGATATCTGTTGGTTGTAATGATGGAAGCATTCAGATGTGGGACACCAGAAGAAGTTTCATCAATACTAGTGCTTTAGTTCGTGATTCACATTTAAAAGGATCTGAAATTAGTTGTATTCAGTTCTCATACGATGGCAATGGTTTGCTTAGTCGAGGAACAGATGACACATTAAAATTATGGGACATGAAGATGCTGAAGAAGCCTATAATTGTGATCAACGAACTCTATAATCGCTTTTCAATGACTGACTGTTTCTTTTCTCCGGACGACAAGCTTTTAGTTACAGGTGTTTCCTGTCGTAAGGGCGAAGACTACGGACGTCTCATGTTTTATTCACGCGACACGTCTGAGTTAAGTCACGAAATAACAGTCAATAAGGGGGCAGTTATACGGTCGGCCTGGCACCCGAAACTTAATCAATTGGTTGTCGGCTCATCTAACGGTTCTATTAAAGTATATTACGATACAAATAGATCAGAAAGAGGCGCCAAATTATGTGTTGTCAAACATAGACGTAAATATAAAGAAAGTTTTGAAAATATTGATCAACAAATCATTGCCCGTAAGTTTGCATTTAGTATTTAAATATGATTTGTAGTGAAATTACATTATATATAATAATAATTAAAAATGTCTTTTACAGCACATTCTTTGCCATTATTTAAAACCGAACGAAGAAAACCAAAACGACTTCAGGAGCTTAAGGATCGGAAAAATCCGTTAAAATCACATCGACCTGAGCTACCAGTAATGGGTCCGGGACAGGGAGGACGAATAGCTTCCGCGGGCAATACGTTTGCTTCATTTATTGCCCGAAATTTGGGCGTAAAAAATAAAATCGATGATAGTATTGATGCACGAGAAGCCATTTTACGTCACGCGAAAGAGGCTGCAGAAAACCCATATTGGGTATCACCGGCCTATACGGCCACTCAACCCAAACCTGTGTTCGCCAACGAAACTAAAGACGAAGATGAAGACGACGAACCATCAGCTAAAAGACCACATATTCCTGTATAATGTCATTCATTTATTATTTATTAAATAAAACTTATTATTATTATCAATATTACGGTAAATAAAATCATAATTCATAGCTTGAAAATTAAAATGCAATTTTCATAACTGATATTGTATTATATTTTACGAATATTATATATTTTTATATCTCTATATTAGTATTTATTTACTGTTAGTTTTAGACAAAGCACTTCAATACTTTAATTTGAATAAATATAATCAAACATGAAGTCGATATTACATTACTTGGATTTATTTTATTTTAGAAAAAAAAAGATTTTTAAATATTATCGATAATGTTTACAATTTGTAAATTGTTTCTCAAAATAGTCGAAGTATTTTAAAGAATTAAAAAAAATTATAAGAAGCATCAAACATACATTTATTCACATTTTATATAATTAATTTAATTTTTATTTACATACAAAAAAATTTATATAATAAAAAATAATTATAAAAATAAAACTTACTTTTTTAAAAAAATAATAGGAATTTCTTATTGAATATAAACTTATAAAAAATGTGAGTTCAATGACATATAATATACTATTATATATATATATTTATAAGTTCGTTTAAATAACAAATAGTGTGACAATTATTGTATTTCAACAGTGATGTATTGGATCAGTTGAATAATGATTATCGCGTTTATGGATCATTTCACTACCATTTCTCCAATCTATTAAATTAATAAACACTTATATAAGTTTTTATATTAAAAATATTTATTTATATGAATTCAGTAAAATTTGATAATCATATAGAAAATAAAATAATTCACATATATTTTTTAATATAATAAATACAATTATAGTAATAACATGCAGTTAACAAATAATTTGTATTCTTATTATGTTAAAAGCACATTTTAATTATAATAATTAATTATTAATTTTTATTAAAAAATTGAATATAATGTAATAGTTACAATTTATATTTTTGCTCAAATTTTACTTTATTTGTGCATTTTATTCAATATATATATATATATATATATAAATAATTTTTTACAAACACGTCTATGAATCGATTAAATGCCAAAAATACTAATAAATTTAGTCTAACATTAAAAATTATTTATCGAAATATTTTTTATATACAATATATTATGATGTGTTGTCAGCAATGAATTTATTGAATGATTTGCTTACTGAAGTGGCATTTTTATTATTATTATTATTTTTTAAAAATAAGTTAAAACTAATTTAAAATCATATGTGATTACATACATTACAATACATTTAAACATTCTGTCAAATTATTAAAAAAGTAATATATGAAAATTTAAAATATTTTTACTAAAAAAGATTTTTAAAATCACACATATTATTATAATGTACACATATTTTTAAAATTTAAAATATTCTGAATATTATATATATATCATTAATCTAATATATATAATTTTATATTAACTAAATAGATTATTATTATACTAGTATAATATAATTTTCACATTTATGAGATTCAATAATTTAACAAATGTTTTGTAATATATTTTTAAATAATGACAACAAATATTCAATTGCTTTGGGCCTAAGTTTATTGTAAGCAATTATTTATAAGCAAAAATTGGATAAAAACAACAAACAAATTGATAACATTTTGATGTCATCACTGGTGTCCGGTTCGTGCTATTTATCGTTTATTATTTGTCTTTAAGTCATTAGACCACTAATATCTCCAATCATTAATACCAAACAAATATAATTTAGTTATCTTTCTATATAATAATTATAACTTATATGTTTCAAAAACAGTCATAAAACTCAGATTGTTGTTTGTATACTAAATTTATGTGAGTTTTTTTTCGCTATCGTTAAGTAATCATTTATATAATCAAATAAAGCTTATTTTATAGTCAGTTATTGTATTTATTATATATTTATAGATTCAAGTATTATTTTATCTCATAATAAATACATATTGCTAGTGGCTGTCAATAATACATATACAGTACTTTAATAACTTATACTAAAAATATCATTTAAATACTATTTTGATATATAATAAACATATATATATTGACTTATTGAAAGACAGAGCTTATCTCATAACAAAACAAAAAAAGATTGAGATTTTATCGCATCACTAAAAATATATATATGTTTAAGACATATGAAAGTGAAAAAGCATTGAAAAAGAAGTGGTAAAGCATTGATGAAAATGTCGAAAACATGTGAACTAAATGACAAAATGCATTGACTGTAAAAAAGCAATAATACATATATTTTCACACATTTTTGTATTGTTGGCTATAACGGGAAAGTGGTATGAAATCAGAGATAATGTCACCATTTGCTTGTTTTTTGTTTATATTGATCGATGAGTTATTGTTTGAATCGTTGGCCTTATTATCAGACAAACACTGAGACATTTCTGTACGGCTTAGGTTTGACTTCAATTTACTGTTGAACCTAATGTGAGAGTACGATGAGGTCGAGCCCACAAACTTACCCAATCTATTGGATGTCCTCTGTTTGACAAAACATTTCATGAATGTATCTTTAAAGGCCTGACGAAACTTTACAGACATTATAGAGTATAGGACTGTCATTAATTGGGTTAACAGTTTGTGCCATATATTTGATGAATATGTTTGCATATATAAAATAAATATATTCTGTTAGTTTTTTATACAATAATTTTAAAAAAAAATTAAAATCAATTAAATTTCAATTAAATACTGACTGGGATTAATGGTTGCACTTAAATAGTATGTAACGCCACTTATATACGATAGTATTGAATGAAATATTATTTCAGATTGTGTTGGATTTTTCACATATATAGCCATTAATCTAAAATTAATTGATTGTAAATTTTTAGCCCGTCATTCACTAATTAAGTAAATTTTTAATAATGTAAATAATGATAAATTTTGCTATTATTCATTAGATACAAAAAGTATATAGTCTAAGCATTTTGAATAATTAGTGATATATTGATATAAATATAAATAATTATAAATTCTTGTAATTAATAAACAATGTCTAATAAAACGTATCTATTAATTATTTAACATTAAATATATTAAATAGATTTTATATATTATTTATTTTTAAATGTCTAAAAATATTAATCACTATCAATATATCATTATATTTAAAAACTAAATGTTTTACAGTTTATTTGTATAATTTATATTTAATTATTATGTCTAATAATTATTTAAATAATACAATAATAATTAGAATAAATAAAAAAGAATCTAAAATAATAAAATAGTAGAAAATAATTGCTTAAAAATAATTAGTCTAATTAATTGTTAATAAATTTAAATTATTTAAAATCATTATATAATTTATACAAACCTTTGTGCGTGAAAGGGAGCGAAACACACGAAAAATGCGACCACAACTGCAACTATAGACACAAAAATATTTATTAAATAATATCTAAATAAAATATTAATTTAATTGTATTGATTATTAAATGCTTTTACTGTTATTATTGTATAATTCAATTTGCAAAATTAATTTTTTTAAAATGATAATTAATAAATAGATATAAAATAAATTCAACTCATTTTAATTGATTGAATTTTCAATTTTCAAACATAATATCTTATATAATAATTATATAAGATTATAAAATGTATAATTTAAAAATATAATTAATATATATATGATATGTATAAATTAATTATCATTTTTGTTATTTATACATTTTTATAAATTTTTGTTAGCAAATATCAATACATGAAAAACAATATGTATTACAATTAAATGAAAATTAAAAGAACAGAATTAAAAAGTTAGAAACAAATGCAATATTAATTAATGCAAAAATCATATGACTTTTTTATCAATATTTTAAATAAAATACTACAATAATATTACTACTATAGTAACTGATATTTTATTATAAGTTATTTTTTATTATAAATTGAAATGACTAACTGTTTAAATGTTTAATATTAATTAATACATTTTATTATCAAGAAAAGTGATTTCCATTTACATCAATTTGTCTTACATTAAACAACACAATGAATATGAATTTAATTTATAATATTGAAGTATTTAAAGATTAGTTTAAAACAAATTATTGAAATTTAATTGATTTATGAAAGATAAAAATAGTGATACTAATAATAATATGAAGATTTTAATATAGAATATTGTTGTAAATGTTATAAATTATTTTCTACAATTCAATATCCCTAATATTTATAGTAAATTAAATACATAAAAAAGTTTATAAGGAAAAATTACCTAAAAAACTAATAAATAATGATTTTATTAATGAAACAACAAATTATTTTAATAATAAAGTTAACATTATTATAATAAATATAATAATGTAAAAGTCTATTTTAAATATAAATATATTTGTAAATATTTTATTACATATTTCAGTCATAAAAATACACATTTTGGAAACACTATTAATAAATAATAATAATAAATTATTTATATTGCATTTGTTAAGTTAAGTAATTTATAATTATTTAAATGACCTCATGTATTTTTTATAGTTAATTACATTAAATTAATTTTATTTAAATTAAAATTAATTGTGTTTGTAATTGTAGTACTAGTTTAGTCTAAAACAAAGTTATAACAAAATGATGGCTCATTTTTATCACAACAATGGTCTAAATTACTGCAATATTCTCTACAACTAATGGTTTGTTATAACGAGATAAATGTCTGGTCATAACAGTATAGAAGAGATCTGATACACAACTCTATAGTCTAATGTCATTAAATGGTTAAATAATAAGTGATTCAAACAAAAATTGAGTAAATTTTAGCATTGATAGTGAATGCATTGGATGTGATATTTCCTCTATTAAACAGAGAATAAAATATAAAAACAAACAAACAAACTATAAACTGTATATTATATCAAAATAAAAACTCATTTTTTGAAGCCTTATAGCAGTCAGAGTCACACTCTCTCTCTCTCTCACACAGACACACACACACACACACACACACACACACACACACACATACATACACACACACACATACACACACATACACACACACACACACATACACACACATACACACACATACACACACATACACACACACACTCACTCACTCACTCACTCACTCACTCACTCACTCACACACTTTTTCTTTTATGGGCTAATGAGTCGTATATTAAGCACATGTCATCGATAAAACTTTGAGATCAGCTTTTGAATACACTATCAATACTTCATCATTTGATAATATCATATAATGTTTTATTGTTTATAACATTATATTCATTAAAGTTGTTTTAAAAACCCTATAAGTGACTAAATATAATAATAAATAATATAGACGACGACAACAAATGTTGAAAGTAATACAATATTAATATTTTATTTTTAATTTTTCAACTTTTAATTAAAAATAATGCATTAATTAACTTTTAGTTATTGTTTATATTTAGCTAAAATTAACAAAATTAAACAATGTTATTTCTAACACAATCTAATAAGCTTTTTAAATAACAATAAATTGTATACATTATTAATATAATATTTACTCTATATTAAGAATATTAATTTAGTCATTAAAAAATAGTAAATAAGATTTATAAAAATGATTATTAAACTATCTCATAATTAATTATTTGTGATTTTTATATTTTGTGTCAATAAATTATTGAATATTTAACATTTAAATGGTTGCTCATTAAATTAGAAATGACTTATTTATATATAGGTTTTTATGAGACAATAAAAATTAATTATATGTATATATTTTAGTTTACATTAAATATGTTTGAAATATATTTGATTTAATACGTGATCTTTTGGTTTATTTATTTTGTTATACAAATAGTCAATGTCTTTCATAGCAATTAATTGTTTAAATTGTATCTAATGTTATTAATTTATTATTGAAACAATTTTAAGTTCATAAATTCATATTTATTTCTATTGCGACAATTTGTAAACGATTTTTGATTATATCATTTATTATATGATTTGATGGGTAAACCCATAATATTTATAATAACATATATAATTAAATTATTCATTAGATTAAACATTTAAATTTGAGACTCAGGTTAACCTATTGTTTGCCGGATTCTCCGATAATAACATCGTTTATATGAGGAAATTATGTATGACTTTGAATAAAAAAAACTAAATGCAATTAATATTGAAATTTTATTATAGTAATTATCTTTTTAATATTAATAATATTACAAATAATAGTCTTTAGCACACTGTAACTGAATAATTAACAATACTAATTGAAACATGGTAAAGTTGAATGCTATTTATTAATGTTAAATCATTTATAAATCATTTTCAATTAATTATTTAAGATTTATTAAACTTTTAAAATAAAAGTTGATAATTTTTGTGTATAATTAGTAAACTACAAATATGTAATTGTAAATGTTTTAAGGAATTTCCAAAATTAAATGTATTTTATTATAATATAGTATTAATGTTTTGCAGTATTTTTATTATAATACTTATTATTAGTAAATAATTTTATTTAATTTTATTTCTAAATATATAATACATTATTTTGTTAATTTATTCAATTTGATTTTATTTATATATAATACTTTTTACCTAAAAATTATATATTTTATTATACAATATATTAATATTATATTGAATACATTGTACAGTTGGCCAAAAATTGAAATTTCTAAAAATATATATGTATTTTCAAGAAAGTTTAGATAAAAATCTATTAAATCCATTTATTAATTTAGTTTTTTCGACATTTGATATTATTATTAGAATTGTTGTTTATTATTAACTTACTAATTTAAAACTTAGAAAATAATCTTGGTAAATAAAAATATTACTACTATATTTATTACATTTTGTTACATATTTTAATTTTTATTAAAATTATTCAAAAACTTATATTTTGCATTATATTTTAGGATCTTAACTGTATAGTTGTTTACTGTATATAAATTTATTATATACTATATAATATAAATATATCAATAGACAATAATTGCTTTATATAGGAATCACATAGTAAAATAATAAACTAAAATTTCTATAAAATTTAATTTTGTTTAAATTTCCTTTTGGGATTTTATTAGAAATTTCTATATATATATAGTATTATTATTATATATACTCATTCTTTATTGTTCTGTAAATGTTATATAAATTCAATTACCGAAAATATAAATATGATAAAATTTATCAAAATTATTTATATTATGAAATCAAATTGTGGTCTATTATACCATATATTTTAATAATATTTTTTAAATAGCATAATTGACATAATTTTAGCGTTGAATCAATAATTAAACAAAACGTTAGTGAATGAGGGTTACAGTGAAAGTTCATAAAAATACAAATTAATTATTATTGAGTTCAAACAATATTCTCGTTAATACTGTATAGTAATACTGTATATATTTATTATAGTTATTATCTGAAATTATTATTATTCTATTGTTAATATCCAATCGATTTAAACTATTATATATTTATATGGATTAGTTATATATATATACAGTATATACGGTATATCTCTTGTTAACAGACAGTAAATTAGTTTCTAATCAAATAATTTAATTAATCCATTAATTTCATGTAAATAAACAACATTTAAATATATTATATGTCAGTAATGTTTAATTATCTGAAACTTGTTTATTAAAAACAATTTAATGAAGATTTGAAACAAGTTATTGAATATTATTATTACACTAAACAAATGTGATTAAATAAAATAATTGTTAAATTAAAATGTTTTATATAATGTAAATTAGTAATAAAAATAATCTTTATTTGTTATAAGTATTATATTTGACATTTAGATAATTATAAATATTTATTATTATTTTGTTGATAGGAAAATAACCAAAATATTTTATTTTATCAACTATTTCTAATTATAATTAATATATTCTAAATAAACTAATTTTACAGTAAATATTTATTTTTATTTTTTCAATTAATTTATAATGTAAACAACATTTAAAATTTGACTATTCATTAACAATCTTAAAAAATAAATTATATTCATGTAAATATATATTAATTATAATGTATTATATTTTTGTTAATTAAAATAAACTAAAATTTAGATATTTTTATAGACTAATAATATATATTTTTTGACAAACTAAATGTCAAATGTAAAACTGTAATTATTTGCTATATAAAGTTTTTAATTATTTAGTCTATAATTTGTCGTCAGATGTTATGTCGTTATTATTAAGATATAAATAATACTATTAAATATATCACATATAAAATATAATATATTAATTTATAGTAAACTATTTTATATCATTAGAATTTTTAATATTTTTAAAAAAAAAATAACTAAATATTCAAAAAAAAGTATGAAAGTTTATTTTAATTATTTTACTTTGTTTTGTTGTTAATCTTATAAATACAATTTATAATTTATGAAAAATACATCTATAAATTCAAAACTTGTAACTAATAAATCATTTATTCAATAAAACTTATTTTTTTATACCAATTGACATTAAATGCAATGATATTATATATAATATATTCTTAAGTATTAATAGATTTAAGAGTTATACGAATATATAACTGAGTTTGAATGCATTATTATATATTATTAAAAAAAATATTTTTATGAATATTGTTGACAAATAATATAAATTATTTTTATGACATATCTTTTCAATAAAAAATTTCAGCATTCATTAAAATTGAGTACAATTTTAAAGCAAAATACAGTATTAAATACTAGTCCTATTGTTTAAAGATATTAACTTAATGGTTTATGACAATAAAATAAAAAATATTTTATGAAATATAATTTTAGAAATTGTAATTTAGTGTAATTTAACTTAAATATTTTAAATGATAATCAATATCAACATAAATAAAAGTTTATTAAACATTTATTAAACTTAAATTAAATTAAAATAAAATTATTAATAATACTCACATTAATCTAAATATTAATATTCAATAGATAAAAATTCTAATGTATTAAATTAATTATATAATTAAAATTGTTTGTTTATATTTTATTTAAAAGTTGCAATAAATGTTATAAAACAATATTATAAAACAATTTTTAAATTATTTCTTAATGAAAAAATCGATATTAAGTTTTAATAAAATTTTAATGTTACTGTATTTAAATAATTATTATAAGTAAATTATTCAAAAATACTATATAATTTTCCTTAATAAAATACATTAAAAATTATTTAAATAAAATATATTGCTTAAAGTTTAATAGATTAATTAACATAAAAAATCTATTTATTAAAATTTTGTAAAAAACATTTTTATATAAATATAGGTTTTAAATATTATATTTCTTAGTATTTTACAAATAAAAAGTTATAAATATATTTATTATCTTTTATATATACTGTATATTTTCCAAAAGTTATGAAATATAAATTATAAAAAAATTAATGTTTTTAATTAATAGATATTTATACAAACTTAGCTAAATAATTGTAATTAATTTTCAAATGTACTCATTTAGCAAAACTGATAAGTTTCTAATTAATTCAATTTTAATTATGATATAAATATCTGTCAAAGTATTAATGAAAATTTTAATTTATAAATATTTGATATATATATATACAGTATTTATGACAGTTATTAGTATTCATTACTTTATTTTTTGCAAAATAAGTTTTTTTTATATATTAATATATATCATATAATGACTGCTTTTATTGTAAATTAACTAATATTAAAAACCACTAATTATTGCTATTTATTATTTTTGCTTTTTATTTGACATACTTGACACATATAATACATTGTTAATTATAAATATAGTGTACAACAAATTCATTAGGGGTTGCTCTTAGAAGGCGTCCATTTATTAACTTTAGAGAGGGTTTTCGGACGTATGTAATTTAATAAAATAAAATAGCTAATTTATTAACTATTGTTGATTCATATTTCTAAAAATTGAGGACGTATTATTTGAAAAACTTTTTATTTTTATAAAATAAATTTTTTTTTAATTTTTTTTCTTTAATAAAACAATCTAACAAAAAACGTTTATTGTGTTTCTATTATTAGTTTATTAACTGTTACATAATTCATTAGCAATAGCTAAAATTCATTAACAGTTTTATCATTTATTTTAATACTGTAATACATTTTTAGTAATAACATACGTATAAATTGAACCATTATAACTAAAGATGGGCAAATAGAAAGTTTCTAATAAATTTCCCTGAGAAAGTTTCTAGAAAATTTCTCATGAATAAATTTCTATAGAAATTTAACTTTATTGTTATAATATGGGATCCCCATATCTATAGTTATTGTAATACTATACAATGTTTTATACATTACTACACAAATGCTATATATTAAATAATAATTAGTTTTGTAAAATTGTATTCATCATTTTATTAGAGTAGTTTAACTGTAGTTTAATTAATTAAATTTTTACTTTAATTAATAATAATTAATACTAATAATAATATTTACGGTAATGTATTGTTATATGATAGAAAATATCGAGATAATAAAATTAACATGGGGATCCCATAGATAGGAATTTCTTTTAGAAACTCTCTAGAAATTTCTCTATTATTTTATAAATTTTTCTTTTTTGTCAACACTAATTATAACCATTATAGAATTAGTTAGAATTGAATAGTTAAATAATTAATATTTTTAATTAATTTAGATTTTTTAAAAATAAAAACTGTTTTTAAAAACCCTTTACTGTCACCACTCAATACTACTGTATATAATTTGAATATAATAATAATAAAACCTTAATATAGATATATTAGAAATGTTTGATTAAAAATTATAAATAAATGGATTTTCTATACTTTATTTTTGCTAAAAACTTAGTTTAACTTAAATATAATATTTTCTTACTACACGTTATATAAAGTGATATATAAATTATCTATAAGTAAACGTAATCTATAATATATGTGTTATAATATTTTTGACTTATAATTGTTTGATTATGATATAATTTATTTATTTATTCTAAGTATATGTTAAACTGTCAAAAATATAATATAATTAATATAATGAAATTATATTTTTTATAAGACTCAAAATATCTTATTTAATAGATTGTCATTTGAATGAGCGATTTGACGCCAAATTATAATTATTTTTGATTTGAATAAAAAATAATTTATCACATTTAATAAAAATTAACAAATAATCTGTCAAAAATCTATGACATGTTATTAATTTGTTTTTTAATTATGGATATAATGAAATTTGCTATAAATATAATAGTATATAATATTGTATATATTGAATATATTAAATAATCTTGATAATATATTTTAATGGTATTTAGTTTTTAAAAATTAGATTTAAATATGAAAACATTTCATATAATCACTATAATTAAAATGTAATAAAATTTAATATTTTTTAACATTTGAGTTAAAAAACTAAAAGATATCAACTATTAATAATAAGTAATTTATTTAAAAATAGAAAGCAATAAAAACTTTATATTATCCCAATTTTTCCGTTTCAATATTTTTTATATAATTTTTGTGACATTTATTTAGCATTAAATAATTTTCTACTTTAGGCTTTAAATAACTAGTCCACGACATGGGTCTTATCAATTTCAGTTAGAAATAAGGGTTACTATGAATGCCAATAATACAAAAATATAATAGAAGTTAACTTAAAGGACGTCTAGTATTAATTTTTAAAAAATAAATTTGTTCATATTTTTAAATAAAGTAAGTTTCATTGTATCAATAAAAATGTTAATATACTTTTTAATTAATTAATACTAATTAACATACAATATCAACATAGGTTCATGGCTAATCACTTGTAATTTATATTCTAAAGGTTGTCTATAAATTAGTTGTTAATTGAATAATTGATTTACTGATTATATGCATAAAAAAAGATTGGCAAAATGTGTTACAATAAAACAACAAAAAGATTTAACAAATTAAATATTATATAATATATTGGTGGGTGTATTTTAGTTGTTTTTATCATTATTATATGTTTTATACTGTATATAAATTATATAATATTGTATATACTATTTTTATTAATGTATTTATATAATAATAATACAGTAAGAAATAGTATTAATTCAATAAAATAGTAATTCAATATTAACGACAATAACGAAACTTGAACCCAAATGCCAACAAAAAAAAAGATTTAATGATTTGATGACTTACTTAACATTTTGATGACAGCTCTGCGTTGAGCCAAACTGTTTGTGCTATTGGATGAGCTCTTGTGCTCAATCGGTCTTTTAGAGGACTGGTATCTGGAATGTGTGGATCCATTGCGAACGGTTAGTTCGCATTCATTTTTAGAGTTACTCGTCATCTGTTTGTTTCTGACGGCTGCCGAGAATCTTAGTTTGAGACCAATTAACATATAAAGGACTGATATGATGGTCACTGGGATGACAAACACCAATAATGATGATATAGTAAACGTATGTTCATTAAGATAAGGTATAACTCTTTTTATAGAACAGGCGGCAGACTCTTGTATTACACCATCACTATTATAGTCGTAAACAATGCCGAACTGGTAAGCTATGGGAACGGCACATATGAGTCCAAGAAACCATATGATGATAATAAGTTTGACGGCTCGCGACAACTTCGACATTGTATGGGCTTTCAATGGATGACAAATAGCTACATATCTTTCTATAGTAAATGCTGTGATTGTCAGCACTGAAGAATTGGTCGACGCTTCCGATGTAAAGCCGCGTAACACACAAAACACTTCTCCCAAAGCATATGGATATCTGTGCCACAACTGGTAGATCTCTTGTGGTAAACCCAACACTAATAATAGTAAGTCAGATACGGCTAAACTAAATAGATAATAGTTGGTTGCCGTATGCATGTATCGATTACGTGAGATCACCAAACAGGTTATGATATTACCGATAACACCAGTGATCAGTATAAGCGCATACACTATAGTCATCGGTATAACTGTGGACAGCGGTTCTCTAATGGGACCTAAATCAAGACCATTGCCAACAATGTCTCCAGTGGTTGGCGTTTCAATCAGTGGTAACATAGATGAAGCAAATAAAACGTTGTCTGACATGACTTTTGATATAAAAGATAAATTTAAATCATTCTTTAAATTCATGACATGTTTCTTGAATTATTCATAATTTGTACGGAAATTATTACTCAAGTATTTTCATAATTATCAACTCATTCATCACAAAACAGGTATTAAAATCAAATAGTTTTTTACACCAAACTTATAGAAGCAGAATAATTAAGTATCAAAAACTTTTTTTGTATTTAAATTTATTATAAAATTATAAAAATAGTTATAAATCTACTGATAGAGACACACTTGACTATGAACTTGAAAAACAACTTTTAATTTCTTTTAATATTAAAGACAAACATTTATCTAACGAGTGATTGTCTTGTGTTAGCTAACTGTTCGCCGATTGTCATTAGGTTTATCCTCTATTGACGAGGAAAGTCGTCTAAAACCTTCAGTTCTCTCAGTCGCATATATTGAAATAATATGCAATGAAATTCAGTACAATAACACATTTTTCAGACAATATTTTTACTGAACCTAACAATAACTATAGCTTTAGTCATACAATGTTAGCTTTCAAGTGCTATAGAAAGCCATAACCAAACCGATACTGCGCTCAATGACTGACTGTCACCAAAAACTTACCGATAAAATTCATACTATAATAATAATAATAAAGTAATAGTAATAATAATAGTAATATAAAAAAATTATATTACTATTTAATGTCATTTTTAATGTCATTTTTAATGGGGTTAAAATTTATTCTAAAATTGCAAATTATTTTCCAAACTAAACATTATTTATTGTGAAATAAATTGTCGCTAATTATATATTTATTATATGTAAATAAAATTAATCGAAAACTCATATTCAAATTAATTTCATACATATGTTATTAATATATTTAAGTTTAATAAGAATATTAAATGATTAAATACAGTACTTTATGTTATAAAAGCTTATAGTTTTGTAATATTTTAATATTAAAAAATATTAATGATATTGCGAAAACTAAACATTTAAAATTTAATATATATAAATATTTCCCAAAATAATCATTATTATTTGCATATTATACAAATATACAATCTAATACTGTATAATAAAAATGCATCAATATTTTTATATTGAAATTATTATTACATCATATTATATTTAATAAAATTTAATAAAATATAAAATAATAATTACATATGAAATATATAATATGTATTTTTTGTTTAACTACTTTAAATAGCAAATAAAACACTAAATTAAATGATTATGTATTTTTAAATTATTATTTTAGAATATTCTAGTATTTACTAAATATAATGTTTAGATTGTTATTAACTTACTAATTGTTTATGGATTTACTTAACTATAAATTAAGGTTATTGAGATTAATATTAATATTATACAAAACAAAAAACATTTGTTAGAAATATTGAGAGAAAATTAATTTATTTCAAAATTACACAAAATTGAATTTAGTTTATTCTAGCAAATTTTATGTTAATACAGTATAAAACATTTATTAATATTGTTATTTTTTATTGATATACCAAATACAATATACAGTATATTTTATTAATACATGTATTATACAACTTGTATATAAAGTAAGTTATATGAATATTGTACAATAATACATCTAATGTATAAATCTAAAATTATATATAATATGGTAAAATAATAATTTACAACTTGAACCAATTGAAACCGCGATAATTTAATTTATTATTTTGTTTAATACTGTATAATAGACACATTTTTTTGTATAGAAATGGTATCTTTGACTAAATCCGTCGATATATATATTTTTTGTGAATTAAATAATTTATCATTTATATAGTATTGTCTAACCTATTGTCTCGAACCTTGTAAAGCAATGCTTTATTATATAAAATACTTTATAATTAAATTTGATTTTAAAAAACACAAAATAGTTTTTTATGTTACAAAATATTTTGTATTTTATTTGATTTAAAAATTTATTAAATTAAAAATTTGCATATTTATTCTATAAACTTAGTATTAAATAATAAAATCCATTCAAAAAAATATTCACAAAAAAAATTAACGAGAAATAGCTTTTAATCAATTAGTGTTTGAGTTATATTTTTATTGACAAGTTATTGAATCTTTTTTTAGAGAGACATCAATATAACAAAATATTGATTGATTTAGATATAATTTACTCTATATATCATAGGAGTATAGCATACAATATTATCACTGTATATTAAAATACAAAATTTTTTACTATTAATATTTCTGTCCGTTATATTACATTAGCCGTATTTTTTGTGTTAACTTTTTGCTCACGTACTTCCTATAGAAATAGCAGCATAAATATCAAACAAATAAATATTGTGTATTTCAGCACTAATACAATTACAATTTATTTACTAATTTTGTAAACAATAAAAAACTATTTATTATTTTAGTGCCGAAAATTTTGCTTTTATTTTTTTATGTTATCTCTCTCTCTCTCTCTCTTTCTCTCTCTCTCTCTCTCTCTCTCTCTCTCTCTCTCTCTCTCTCTCTCTTTACTTTACTTTAGTTATAAAATAATAATGCTAATAAATAAATTTATTTAAATATATACATGAATAATATGATATTAGCAATTTTAATTTATATGATATTAAATATTTTAATGTAATTTATTTTACGGGGCTACAATCTTGATAAATAGACATTAGCAATACATTAAATAATATAAAATGCATAAACAAAATTTCATTAATAATTTTTTAATAACCTTTATCTATGAAACCATATAATACGACATAAGAAAAAAGTGGTTTAATTTCAATGAAATACCAGAAGTTAGGGATGACTCGGGTGTGTCATCTGATGATAAGCGCTCCAGAAAACAATTTATACATTTGTTTAGTTATAATAAAACAATAGATTCATTGTTTTGCATAAATTGTTTATTACAATAAAGGGATGGCTTATTATGCCATACAGTGATATGTTTGGCCAGTAGAGCACGTCGTGCACTGGCCTCCACTTTGTCTAACCTGGTATGTGAACCCAGGTATTCAAAGTAATAGGATATGTCTGTCATTTTCTTTGATGATATCATTATTCATGTAATGTTTCTTACAATCTAAACATTAAAGTTTTTACAATACAAATATAATAATATATTAATGTAATAACAGCTATGAAGTTAGCAATTTCCCGATGGATTTTATTGGTGTGCACCACAACAGTGTATTTCGGTGTATGTTCTGGTCAGGTCATATCGTTCGGAATGCGCAAATTGGCCGCTTCTACCAACCAGTTTGGTCTCGACCTAATGAGAGCTATGGACCGATCGGAGGCAACAATGGCTTTTTGTCCATTTTGTATCGGCTCATCACTGGCACAACTACTGATGGGAGCTCAGGGACCGATGGAGTCGGCCTTAAGGCACGCTCTATACTTGTGGGGAATGCAACCGCAAGAAATTAATTTAGCTTTTTATGATATGAACAACCATTTGGGTGTTAATCTTCCTTATGGTTTACGGCACCGAAGTTCTGGTCTCTTCTCATCAAACAATTATCTGACAAATGAGACCAACGATAATGAAGTTATTTTCACAAATAACATATACTATCAAAGAGATTTCGGTATTAATTATAATTATCATATTTTACTGCAAAGATTTTATAAGACAGCTGTCCATCCCTTGGATTTTGTACACAATGGAGAAGAGACCCGACAGCACATCAATGCCATCGTTGAGATGCAAACTGGAAATAAAGTCAAAGATATATTACCTGACAGACAGTCAGCGGCCACTCAATTGTTGTTAATCAGTGCCTTTTATTTTGAGGGAACGTTAGATATAAACATGTCGTCCACCAAACGTCTTAATAATCACATCTATAATAATAAAGTTAATAATAATTTAATAAAACCAATGCATGGATACGACGCCTTTGGCGATGAATCGACAATTCTTGAGTCGAGACGATCACGAATTAGACACGGAATCAATACTTACCTGAACTGTACGGCCGTTGAAATGCCATTCAAAGGCGGTATCATATCTTTAGTCGCTATAATGCCTCACGATATCAATGGATTGGATCTAATGCTGACCCGAATGAGTGCACAAATGCTTAGCGATGTTGTCAGTGGTCTCGAAGTTAAAAGAGTTTCACTAAAAGTAAGTTTATTTTATCACTAAAGTTGTTTGCTTTTAATAACTGTTTATTTATACGATTTATAAATATATATTTGTATTTAACCATTTGTTTTAATTTGTTTTCTTCATATTTTAGTTTGTAATTATTATTGTTATTATTATTTTAATAAAAAAAATTAGATTTAATTTAGTTGTGTTGGTAACAAAATTGTTATTTACAGTAAGATATATATATATAATTGACAAAATAATTTATCATTTGCAAAATAACTCGACAGCAAATCTAATTTATATATTTATAATTTAATATAAAATAGTCTAAAATAAATGACTGCAACTTTTTTTACATAGAAAATAATAAATCAATTTAATCTTAAAATCAAATTTTTATTTTTTTGTGTTGTTATGACTAGTATTTTCCTAACACAAAAGTTTAATATTTTTTATAGTTGTTATTATAAAAGAAATTATTAAAAAAAACAAATTATTTTTATTATTTATAATTATTGATTGAATAGATGCCTAAATTGAGTTTCGAAAAGAGTAACCGCAATCTGTCCCGTGCTTTCGCTAATATGGGTTTATCGGATCTCTTCAAACCAGGCTATGCCAACCTCTACCACATATCTGATTATAAATGGCTTCACGTGTCGGAAGTCCTGCACAAGACGTACATCGATATCAAAGAATCGGCTTTTCCTATGCATTCATACAATAGTTCTTCAAATGTCAAGAATTTTAACACAAACTTCAAGAACCAACACAACAGTGATGTAACACACGTTGAGTTTGACAAACCGTTTGTCTATTTTATTGTCGATAATATTAGTGGACTTATTCTAGTGATGGGCAAAGTTGGTCGCGAACCGGCTAATTATAGACTTCCCGTTTAATAATAATAAAAATAGAAAACCATTTGTTTTCTCTATAAAATTGTTATTTAATCTCCAAATAATTTAGAATTAAATATATTTTTTCTCTATTGTAAAGCCTATTACGAGATTTGTTAAAAAACTCGATAATCATTTACACAGTTATGAATGGCTTAAAATTGACAAAACAAATGATTTGATGCACTGATTTTTATATGTATATATATATATATATATAATATATAACTTTAAAAAACTATTTAATATAAAATAAAATCTCTAACATTTGGAGTTACAATAAAATGCTTTTTTTCAATTTGACAAATAAATTTTTATTAAGCTAAATCTTTTTTATATAAAAATAACATATATAGTTTTTTACTTGTATCAGACAATTGTCTTATCAAATATAAAGCATTTTAATGTCTATTTAGTGCGCTATTTATATAACAACACAAATTATTATTATAAATCTCTTACCATTTATGGTTTGAAATTTTTTTGAAAAAATGTAAAAATAAATTTTAGTTTTTGAAAGATTTATGAAACTTTATATAAACTTTGCTACAGTAATCTTTATAAATTTATCTATAAAAAAGTATAATGCACTTTATTTAATATAAATATACTATAATATTATACAGTATTATTTACTACATGTATTTTAATAATTATATATAACAATGTATAAGAATTAATACCGTATTAACATATATAATATATTAAACTTAATTTTATTTATTAAAACAAATAATAAAAAATAAATTATAAATTCAATAAATTAATAAAATAAATATATAAAAATATAATTAATTATTTTAACATTATATTCTTTATAGTAAATAATAGTATTTTTATTATATTATAGTTGAAAATCTTTGAAAACATTTATATTATTTTTGAATTGAAATTAATTGGGTATAGAATCTGATAGACTATTAATATTTAATATTTAATATTTAATACAATGTATAATACAGTAAAGTATATAAAGCAGTACTCAATGCCATCTATATATTGAAAAGCAGTGTTCAATACAATCATATGTACTGTAAATGCAATGTCCGCTAAAACTCAGGTATTTAAATGACTTTGCGGTCACTTTTAGTGATCACCGATTAAACTGAAGATCTTTTGGATTGATTACAAACAGGTTGTCATCAGTAGTGACCTAAACGGTGAATTGCATTCAGTGTGTGTCTGGGATTTGGTTACCGCCAGCACTCAAATCACATACAAAAGCACGGGATGTGTTCAACGCCACTGTCTTGACATCGCCGCCGATCAACTGTTGGTCAGTTCAATCAAAGAGTCGCCAATTATCAATGTGTGGTCATTTGAGCGCAAAGATCAGTTGCACCTTAAGATCATATGTCCCGGCAAAGTGACAGCTCTCAAGTTGACCACTGATGGCAAATATTGTTTGGTGGCCATCGGTACCAGTCTTTATATTTGGCAGGTATTCACACATTACTCTCTTTATTATAAAATACAGTATATTTTACATTTGTTTTGTTTGTCAGACCTCTTCGGGTGCCTTATTGGCTATTCTTGAGAAACATTACCAAAAGATTACATGTATTGCCGTATCGTCTGAATCGACTTACTTTGTGACCGCAGGTGAAGACGGTTTAGCTCTAGTCTGGTCATTGGCCGCATGTGTTGGATATGACGACACTCTGATTAGCGATACGATGACCAGTGAGAAGGAACCGATATACAAGTGGTCGGACCACACAAATGCTGTCACCGATGTGTACATAGGATTGGGTGATGTGGAGGGTCTGTGCTCCACGTGCTCTACTGACCAAACATGTCGGGTACGAAATAACAAGAAAATACCTTTTATTTATTATAAATATTTTAATGGCAAACAACAACTTGTTATTTAAATAACTAACAGATCTATGAATTGAATTCTGGATCACTTCTCACAACAATTGTTTTTGAAACCCCTCTCTGGTCGGTAGTTATGGATTCGACACAAACGGTATTATATTGTGGCGGACACGACAACAATATTTATGAAACAAAACTATACGCAAAGTCAAAAGCTAGTGAACTGGAAAAACAAAATAAACCACAATTTATTGGACACGAGTTAGTCATATATTTGATAGCAATTTATGAATTTCAATACTAAATGCTGTGATTAAAATCTAGAGGTCCTGTCACTTGTCTATCAATATCGATGGATGGTTTGGCTTTAATATCGGGTTCCGATGACAATAACATAAAGATATGGCACGTCAATAGCAAACAGTGCATGAAAACTATTACAAATAAAGGTACGTGAGCTCAGCTCTGGTATTAAAAAAGTGCTAAATAACATGTTAAATATTTAATGTTAAACAAATATGCTATTATTGGAAGTGTAGGTCCAGTTTCAAACGTAATGGTGTTACCATTTCCATCAGCACTATTGACTCAAAAGCCGCCAAACTTACCATTCAAAAGCTTCAAACGAACTATTCTTAGCGATATTTTCAGACAAAGTAGTGATACTGAGGACGAGTATTGCATTGAAATTAGAAACGAGGAAAACCTATTAAATAGCTTATCATTTATGAATGGTATAGATATAGACAATGATTTGTGCGACGGAACTACTAATTCATACCAAAACGTAAGCGCATCTAACGATCGATTAATTTAATTGATTTTTGTATGGGCTCTCAATGCCATAGAAAATACTAATTACTATTTTTTTATTACATAAAATTTTATTTATTTACAAACATTTTTTTTATTTAAATACAGAATTTGGAGGAATATTCAGTTAGTAATGAAAATGAAAATTTAAGGAAAGAGTTAAATGATTTGAAAGATATTAATAGCAAATTATACAGTTATGCAGTCGACTCGATATTCAAATCACTGCCCTGAGCTTTGCACAGGTATTTCATACATTTGTTTTTTTGTGAGTGTATTATACATAAACTTATTCTACATAACCTTTTGGTGATCATTGATGCGTTAATTTTTACTCTCACTGTCTGTTAGAGACAACATTATGTTTAACAATGGGTTCGTTAACACTATCGATAAATATATTGTTAGCCAAATGGGCTGTCATTTAAAAACTGATGTTAAACTCTGGTGTTTTGGGTGTTAGTATTGTTGTGGTTATTATTATTATTATTATTATTATTATGATAACCATTTGCTGACATTTCAGGACGAACTTTGAGTTTATTATAGCTTTTGTATGAAATATTTATTTAGGAAATAATAAAAAATTAATTAATATTTTTGAAAATAAAATTTGTTTCTAATAAATAAATAAATAATACTTACGAAACGTATGCAATGATAGCAACTGCGATAAAACAAATGACACCAATTGTGGTGAGAGTTGCGATGAGAGCTACTTTCCACGCGGGAAGGGGTTCACTCCCAGGTTCTCGTATTGTATCTCTTGGCCTACAAATAGACCTACCGTTACACTGATTAAGTGTTGGCATAGGATTGCACAGAAAATATGAGTTCTCCTCTGGAGTTAAAATACATCTTGAGTTGTCTATTGTCGCACTTTGCGTATGCTTCTCGAGATGTGATTTAAACACTTTTGTATCGAAATTATCATCAACTGTGCGATTGCCAATCGGAACAGCCCTTCGTGTCCTAGACTGTGATCGGCAATCAATTTCACCGAAACCAAAGCACTGCAATTCAATATTACTTTTACAGTGAATATGATTTTCAAAAACACATTGCGTTAGCTCTTCCTGGGAATTGTTGTCTAAATCGACTGAACTTTCTGTAATTGAATCGATGGCAGCAATGGTTGAGCTAACAAATGGTGATTCGTTGAGATGTTGTGTCACTTCGCTGATTGTTGTCGTCTTCAAGTCTTCGTTATCTATTAATTGACTGAAGTTTGTGGCAATGGGTGTTAGTGTTGTAGTTATTATATTAGTGACATTCAAATCATTTTGAGTGACATTCATGTAATCAATTGTCTGGACATCGATCGAGTTATTTGTGGTAATATTGTTGTCGAGTATAGGCGTTGTTATTGTTGTTGTTATGTTTAAGTCGATGTCATTAATCATTAATAAGCTTTCATTTGATGTCAAGTTTTTCTCCTCAATATTGAAGGTCTCGTCGAGTGAATCATTGTTTTCAGACAACTGTCTGTAATTTATGGTTAAAATTGTTGTTAACTCAAGATTAGAGTTAATGATATCGTCGATTGCCTTTTGTGTTTCAGTCTCTATAGGTTTCGGTACTTTTACCGGTTTTTCAGTAGTTTTTATTTTGTTATCTTTGTTTGCATTTCTAGTTGTTATTCCTTATATAAAATTATTTAATTTAGTTTTCAATTAAATATATGAACAGTATTTAGCAAATAATTCATAATTACCTGATGTCTGACTCCTTTTAGGATTTGTCTGACAGTCGAAGACTAAGAATATTAATGATTTTATAAATAAATAGGAAATTCATTAAAATATGGGACAACTAATGGTTTTTCGTTAAGAAAAAAGATTTTTGTTGTAATGGTTGGAAAATTCATTAAAAGAATATGAGAAGAGAAATGTTATCTAAAAATTTTAATTAATTATTACCTGAAAAGTTGTAAATTAGGTTAACCGTCAAAAACCACATCAAATATAGCAAATATTTGGATATTCTTGAAGACACCATATTTTTAACACTATATTATATAACTTATTATATATTAACAATTTCTCATAATTTTTCAGTTAATTAACTCACTAACAAAACAAAAATAATAATTGTGTATATAATTAATTAAAACAATGAGAAATAATGAGATAATAGGTCACATATGGCACTAAAATTTTATTATAAAAACTATGAAACAAAATCAAAATATTTTATTATCAAATAATATACGTAAATGAAATATTCTGATACATAGTATACTGTATAATAAATAACTATAACATAAATGCAAGAAACTTATAGTCAATTGTCTGATAACTTAAAACCAATTGATGACATTATATTGAAATATTTATAGATCATCGTTAAACTTGACTTTTTTGTCACTTAAAACACAATTTTTTAGCCGAAAAAACATTAAAAGGATTTCCGGCACTAGTTTTGTATGCATAACAATATACATGTATTAGTGGTCGAGACTCGAGAGAGTAAGGAACAGTAGTAAATACCTGAGCGAATGTGCAGATAATGTCATAGAGCAGAGTAGTCCTATACGACAAACCATAAGCTCATCCATATATTAACAACATACAGGTGCACAATCACTTGGTTAGCATTTGACTGTATGTAACCATGGAGAGTGGTTTATGAAAATGTGGTAAAATATGATCACTTGTCACATATGAAATATATATATATTCATATTTGATATCAAATTTTAACGCTGTTATGCTTTATATAATTTATAACAATTTACTGTAGTTTATAATTAATTTATAACCGACACATAATTAACGCCTCTTTTAAAATTAAACCACTTGTCCTTATGATTTGTCGACTGCTTTCTCTTATTAAAAAACCACTACTATTGGTGACATTGAATTGTGGGTTCAATTATCAAATATAAAATACTTTATTTTAAATAAATTGTTGATTAAAATTTTCAATATTGTTTAAATAATTTTTATTTATTGAGTATATAACTGTATGGAGATTTATGAATCTGATATTTATCTAAATTTTAACGCCTTATAAATAATTAGCTCATAGTTATGTAATTAACTCTTTTTTAGGACATTACAATAATTGTTCATAATTTAATTTCAAAAATTATAAATAAAATAAAAAATTGATTAATTTATTTAATTAAACTTTATTAACTCTATATTGGTTTGTCATACTTTAGATTTTGGCATAAAAATTAATTTCTAATTTTCATAATTATAATAAAAAATATGTTTATTTGTCTCTCATAACAACTTTTCATAATATAAATAAAAATATTTTTCTAAATAATCACGTAAAATGTTGAAAATTGTTTTTATTTGTTTCATTAATTAAATAAACATGTTTTTAATATTTGAATATTATGCTATAAATGTTAAAATGGGGAATGCCTTAACTGCGGTCCGCTATGGGAAATGCTGCGGTCCGGATTTACACGAAAGCTGGTGGTCAGATCTTGCGGTCCTTAATAGAAAAGTTGTAGATAATTAAAAGTTGGTCTAGGGTTCCGATAAGTAAAAAATTATCCGACCACCAGGAGGCGCACAAAAAAATTAAAACGTGTATTTTTTTTATAGAAAATGCTGCGGTCCCGTTTTACCCGAAAACGGGTGGTCAAATCTTGCGGTCCTCAATACAAAAGTTGTAGATAATTAAAAGTTGGTCTAGGGTTCCGATAAGTAAAAAATTATCTGACCACCAGGGGGCGCACAAAAAAATTAAAACATGTATTTTTTGTATAGAAAAAGCTGCGGTCCGGATTTACACGAAAACGGGTGGTCAGATCTTGCGGTCCTTAATAGAAAAGTTGTAGATAATTAAAAGTTTGTCTAGGGTTCCGATAAGTAAAAAATTATCCGACCACCAGGGGGCGCACAAAAAAATTAAATTATTTTTTTATTGAAAATTGTCTGTTTATAATATTGTTTAATGTTATATTATGTTATTATAATATTATTTATAAAATATTATAATTTAACCATATGTAGCAAAAAATAATAATTAAAAAATAAATAGTATTTTACAATGAATATTATATCATTTTTTTAATTTATTTTGTTTACTTGTATTAATTCATTTGATATTGTTAGTAATAACATAATTATATTTGAACAAGATTCAAATATAGTGTTTACAAATAGTATAATATTTTTTATTAATTAATTTAGCTGTGATAATTTATACAATATACGATTTATTTTAGGATTATTAAAAAATGATTTATAAAAAACTATTTTATTTTATTTTTATGTACAATTTATTTGCATTGTAAAGTTGGAAGTAAAATTGTAATAATATTTGTTTATGTAAAAAGTAATTAAATTAATATTTTGTTTAACATATGGTTAAATTTATATAATATTTTAAAACATTATAAACAATATGTACAGCAATTAAGAATGTAAAAAATTATATTTGTGATTAATTACTGTACAATTATCTGGTTTAATAATTTAATTATTTAATATCAAAAATTATCATCTTTAAAATGTGACTAATCATTTTTTAATAAATTAGGATCGCTATAAAAAATTTTTGTGTGCCACCTGGTGGTCTTAAAATTTTTTATTTAATATAATCTCATACCAATTTTTCTACAACTTTGCTATTGTGGACCGCAAGAACTGATCACGTTTTCGGGTAATACGGGACCGCAGCTTTTTCTATACTTATCAAACATGTTTTATTTTTTTATGGGTCCCCTGGTGGTCGGATAATTTTTTACTTATCGGAACCCTAGACCAACTATTAATTATCTACAACTTTTATATTAAGGACCGCAAGATCTGACCACCCGTTTTCGTGTAAATCCGGACCGCAGCTTTTTCTATACAAAAAATACATGTTTTAATTTTTTTGTGCGCCCCCTGGTGGTCAGATAATTTTTTACTTATCGGAACCCTAGACCAACTTTTAATTATCTACAACTTTTCTATTAAGGACCGCAAGATCTGACCACCCGTTTTCGTGTAAATCCGGACCGCAGCTTTTTCTATACAAAAAATACATGTTTTAATTTTTTTGTGCGCCCCCTGGTGGTCAGATAATTTTTTACTTATCGGAACCCTAGACCAACTTTTAATTATCTACCACTTTTCTATTAAGGACCGCAAGATCTGACCACCCGTTTTCGTGTAAATCCGGACCGCAGCATTTCCCATAGCGGACCGCAGTTAAGGCATTCCCGTTAAAATGTTATAGCTTATCATAAATAAAAATAATATTATTATATACATTATATAATTTATATTAACTATTATATTTAATATAATATAAATTTATAGTTATTAAATAAATAAATATATTGAATAAATCATTATGAATTTGTTAATATTATTTTTATTATCATGCAATATATAATATAATAATAATAATAATAAAGAATAATAACTATTATTAATAACAATAATCGGGTCACTTATATAGTTTATATATCATAATTCATAATCAAATCATTGCTTTTATGATTTTTTGTGTTTTAACGAAAAAACAGTTTTCGCTCTATTTATAGATTAACATCATTTTGTCTGTTATTAAATTACAAAAAAATATAGAAAATTATAGATCCAAACGATAATAAGCATTTACAGTACAAATCATTAATAATAAAAAAATATTTAATAAGAGCATTCTGTAATCACATTACTAATATAATTTGTAAATTTGCATAAACTTATAATTTATTTTTATTATAATAAAATTGAGAAAATATCGATATTTACTAATATAAATGTTTATATTTATATGAAATTATTGTAATTTATAGATTTTATCAATTATTTATTACTTGAATAATTGAGTTCTTTAGTTTCCAACTAAAATCAAATTCAGTTTTTTGGGCATATTTTGTAAAAATATTTATAGTTTTATTTGTTTTTTATTTGTGTTGATTGAGAGTTATATCCCAGCGATACGTACATTCATACGACTGTAATATACCATTAATATGATAATACCGTATGATATAAACTCATATATTATTTAATTTATTAATGCTTTAATACTGAGATTATATGAAAAACTCATTGAAATAATTGTCAATTTATAAAATATTCATTAAGCCATTTATGAATATTGTTTTGTAAATGTATTTTAATAAAACAAATTAAATAAATAAAAATAAAAAACATTTTTATTATAAAGTATCATATTGTATAATAAAGCTTATTATTATTTTTATTATATTGTACTTTATTTATTAAGCTACAGTAAATTAAAAAAAAAGACAATATAATTAATTTCTAAACATTTAATTTTAAGAAATTTTGCAAAAGAGCTATAAATTAATTATAAAAATATATATTAATTTAAAATATGTGTTCTTTATAATCATAAAACTTATTTTTTATTTAGTATTTTTACTATAATTTTAATTAAAATAAGAATATTTAATTCTTCATTTATTTATTTCTGCTTAAACACACATTTTTACTTTTTTTATATAAAAATTTTGTGTTATATAATAATTAACTTTAAGAATATAATACTACATGAAAACTATTGAAAACATAATTTCAATCAAATTATTTTGAATTAATTTTAGCACATAATAAATATTTTGAATTATAACTGTAATTGTAATGTTATTATTTATATCAATAAAATATCTTTGAAAATGTATTTAAATAACAATTTTCATTTGAAATGGACTCTGATTTTGATTACATTGAAGACAACTCCATATATTGTTATTTGCGAAGGAGTTCTTCAAGTTTTTAAGTGATATCAATGGGTTTTATATTCAAAAAATGCTATCAATAGATGACTTGTTTTTGGAAGAAAAGTTGTTAGTATTGTCTAAATGGTTATATAATTGTAATGATAAATGTTATGCTATGTTATACCGTATTTTGCCGACAATCCTACCCATTAGTATTAGTTTCATAAGTTGTAAAACTAGTTTTGCCATAACTTCTATGTTAGTAGTTATATGTGTTAGTCGTAAGCATCAAATATCAAAGTTTATTTCAACTCTCAAAATATTTGAAATAATTATGTTTAAATGTTTATTGAAAAATAACTTAAATATAGTAAAAACATTATTATTTTGAGCGACAAATATTATGCAATTGTCTGCTAATTATTGTGCAAATTAGTGAATGTGTTATAAATTGTTATTAATGTAACCATAAATTGTATTTTAATAATGAGTGCGCTATTGAAAGGCGCTTTAAGGATAATCCCATATAATAATAAAAATGCAATTTTTATTAATAACAAAATTTTATTACAATCACTACTTATTGGTTTTATATTTTATTTATTACTTGTTTGTGTCCACTCTAATGATATTCAAATCACTCGACATAGAGGAAGAGGTTTGTAGATTTAAAAATAGTATTATATTTAATATTTTAACACAAAAGAGTTATTGTTTTATTAAAAATAAATTATATATAATTTATACTCTATATATAGTACAATATAAACAGTATTATTAGGTATAAATTGTATAATACTAAATATAAATATACCTCTATTATAACTAATTTGTTATCTTTTAGTTTAAGAATTTATAAAATTTAAAAATAAGTCAACAAAAATATTATCTATGATTTCATTGATATAAAAAGTCCATTATGTAGACAATAAACATTGTCTAATTAATATTATTGATTGGTTGATATAATTGTTTGCTAAAATCACATTTTATTTAATTTGCAACTCATATAAATTGTTTTTATAGTATTAATACAATGATATTATTATTTTATAAAATAATTGTTGTGATATAAATTAATTTTCATCAAAAAAAACAGAACATTGAGAGAAAGATATTAAACTTTTGAGGATAAATATTATTTTTTTAATTATATAAATTCATATATAATTTGAATAATTTTCATTATGTTTTACTTCGAGTGTTTATGGATAAAAAAAAAGGTTTTTACTAAATTTTTTTTAATATAATATTTTGCAATAAACTTGATTTATGTCAAACATTTAATATTTATTACAATCGTTTATTGTTTAATAATTTTTCAATATTTAAGAAATGGTTAATTGTTAGTAAAAGGCAATCAATTATTTATAGATATTTATAATCGAATTATAAATACATTAATAAAATAGTGCAACAAAAAACAAAACAGTGTAATATATATTATAATAAAAGTTTATTTTTAAAATTTTGAAAAAATGGGCGAATCCTCAAACAACTTGTTTCAAGTACTCAATAATCCGGTTATTACTTATTAGTAGTAAATAACGATTTTTAAAAGGATTAAATCAGTAAAGCGTCTAAATATTATATAAGCATTTATTTTAATACTTTATAACATATATTGTAATAATAATAATAACAATGATGTGGTTGTAGGTCAAGATCACGGCTCATATGATTGTAGGCCTAACTTAACATTAGAAATAATAACTTAATTATGTGTTGACTCTTCCCACGGAATACCAGTGCTATTCAATTGAAGACATGTTTAATTCAATTGACTATCATTTACACAGTTTGTATGATGTTTTACATTACTATTTGATTCAAACATTTGATAACATATATACTGTAGTAGTTTTGGCTATTGTTTAAAAAAAACTCATTAAAAATATTATTCATTAACTCTATTTGTTTTCCATATTTTCTATAATTTTTTTTAGTATTAACAATAATATCAATTGTAAGTATAATTATGATATTGTTTTAGTTATAGAAGAGCGTAAAATTTTCGAGATATTTGATTATATAATACAATATTTAATATAACATAAAGAATTACTATCTATATATAAAATTCATGACACTATTGTCAATTGTATACACAAATAGTTTTATCATGTTTTAGGACTTTATAACTTGACTTACATTTTGAAAAAAATTCTCACAAACTTGAAAACACAATATTTATCCCTTGATTGTCAATTTGTATATAATTGTAAATAATATGTTAAGGTTTTTATATCATTTACAACATTTGCATAAAATAGTTTTAGTATCACTATATCTATCATATCAAATATCAACTTTAATATTCTATATATTTATTTGTATGATATGTAGGCTTAAATTAATTTATGGTTTATGATTATGAAATAGTGATTATTATCAAAATATTTTTTATTGATTCGTATATTTTTACTTTAATACACATAAAAATGAAAAAACAATTTAATGTTTAGGAATGTAATAACTTTTAGATAGTTATTTAAAAATTTTTATTATCTTTACTTATCTTTACTTATCTTTAATTATGTATTTCAGTCAATGAGAAAATCCCAAAGGATAACAATGACATTTCGTCCGATTCTCCGTCTAATTGGTGGCTGAAAAAAGTTGATAAAATACCGGGTATTTTGGTCAGTGATGAACCAATGGGCACAGGAGGTTAGACACTGTTTTTGAATTATTTTAAATTATAAATATATATTATTTTTATTAATCTATTATATGATAATCAGTGCCGACGTGGAAGGAGATCGATATCTATGGATCACCTGAAGCGAGGAGAGGTCGAAGTTATGCCTATAAAACTGATAACAGTTCACCAAAATATTCATACATAACAACAATCATCCCTTTAATTACTTTAAATATTATATTATTTCAAATCAAATTTAAGTAAAACATTGCTTAAACACAAAATCATAGACTACTTATTAAATATAAAATTTGTTTATTTTATAAAACTATGAAATAGTTAAGTGTATGTTAATTGTATGTCCAGATTTGGTTTCTATAAATGACTAAATATAATTTATAAATATATAAAATTTTAACACTTTATTTATTAAAAACTATTTAAAAATATATACATTAATATAAATAAATTTAATTTAATATATATATATATACTGTATAGGTTGGGTGGGAAGGAACAGTAGGTGAGGGGTAGTAACTTATCTACAATTCTTTAAATTTCGATTTTAACAGTTTTTGAAAACTAAAACAACCAATGAGTTATATATACCGAATCTCTCCCATCATTTAATATTAAAGGTGTTATTAAATATAATTGTCATAACATTTATAATAAACAATTGCCTTTAATAATCAATTAATATAATTTTTTATAAATACAGTAATAATTATTTTATAATACAATTATTGAATAGTTTGAATTTTTCTATAGTTTCGGAATCAATTGAATTAAATTTCAAAATAAGTGAACCCAAGTTAGAGTCTAAATGAAAATGTTTAATAAATAATTAAAAACTCAACATTAGAATTGAGTAATTATATAAAATATTAAAACTAAAACTTACTTTTAATATACTCTTGTAATTCAATTGGTTCGAGAAAAGCATTGGTTAAATCACAACCACTTAAGTCCAGAACTTTTAATTTTGGCAAATGTTGTATAAGTTTGTAAGTAATATTGCGATAATAGTCACCAAATGTATTAAAACTTAAGTCCAATTCAACTAAACTTTGCGGACATTTGGCAATTAACTGTTCAATGATTTGGCGATTAATTGAAGTACCTTTGAGTTTCAATTTATGAAGTGATGACAAAAATGGTAAACAATTGATAAAAGATGTCCAATCATTCATCAGAATATTAGAAAATGAAATGTCCTAAACAAACAAATAGTAAAATAATTTTTAAAAATCAATTTAACTGAAAATTTAAATTATGACAAAAATATATACAATTTCTTTTAGATTGTTCTGTCGTTGAATAGCTTTAAATATAGCTCTGATCTGTTCAACGGGTAATTTAAGATCACATAAACGAAGACAACCATTAAGATGTGTCATTTCAAGCCAACCAATAACATCGGAATCTGGTTTTGTATTAAAAGTATTACAAACTTCTTTATATCGATTTGGCAGCGGATCCATAATCCACGACTCAATCTTTGCATTAACTTTAAGTATATCACCGGTAATGACATCAAGAATAAAATCTTCATCAGATAGGAGGGCGCCGTCAGTAGTTTCAAGTGAAATGATAGGTTTGATGGAAAGTTTAGCAAAATATCTCTTTTCAGTTTCTTTGTTGAGCCATAAACAAGTGGTCCGACGGTTAAGAATCGGTATAATAAATGTAGTGTTTTTGTCATCACAAACACAAACACGCAGTGGTATTGACTTTTCAAGTGTTCTGATATCACTGTTTGTTAAACTATTTGATGGCATCACTTGTTTGGAAATTTCCTCTACTTTTCTCAACTCTTTATTCAGTTGTGTTGATTTTGGTGGTCTATTAACTGGTTCAGTAGTTTCTATATCTTCGCTATCTGAAGACTTAGATTCATCTTCGTTTTGATGAATTTGTTTTTCAGGTCGTCTTTGAATGGAAACACCATTAGTTTTACGTCTATGAAAATGACCAGTATTTGAATGACTCATTTGATTAATTTTAGTCTTTTTATTAAAGACGTCGTAAGCATCTAAACACGATCTCTTCCTATTGTCGTTTGTGTCTCTAATAAGCCAATCATCATCGGTAACCAAATTTCGTTGATCGACAAGAGCTGGCATTGATTTAGCATTAGGACGAACGGGGGTTTTCAGTGGCTGTTTACTACTGTCAGAATTAGGTCTTAAATTAGAAATTGATGAACAATACTCTCTTCGAGCAACTCTTGGGTCATCAAAATCCTTATCCAAATCACGCATATGTTTGGTTCGTGGTCTGTGCCCAGTCTTCTGAGATCCCGAATTAATAGAGACATTAAGTGAGTCGGAATCCGAATCAGAAGTATTGCAATTCGTTTCTCGATTCCTTATCATTGGCTTAAACTTTCGCCTTTCATTGGATATGGATTTGGATGACTTGGAAATCGGAATATTCTTTTTTGAAAAACCGGCCATTTTTAACAAATCTTCCATTTTTTGCTCTAATTGTTTACAGCTATTCAACTGGTCTTTATCGATGACATCGGCTTTTGATTTCCTCCAATTCAGCAGCAAATCGAGTGCTGTATTATTATAGTTGTCCAAAATTGTCACTTTTGCTCCCTTTTCCAAAAGTAGTCGTATAACATCTAAGTGTCCGTTAATACAGGCGTCGTGTAGTGGAGTGATTCCTTTACATTTTTGGCCTTCATTATCATTAATATTGGCGCCGTTATCCAAAAGTATTTTAACAATATTTGGGAAACCATTATTTGTGGCCTCGTGTAGTGGAGTCCAACCGCAATTGTCCCGAACATTAACGGGATGTTTATCAGTAATCAATTTACTGACGAGATTTTCTTCGCCTTTAATGCAAGCCATATGTAGTGGTGTTTCTCCTAATTCATTTCGTTTCAGTGATTTTCCCATTCGTTTTAATTTATAAATATTAGAAACACTCTCTTCATCTGAATCAGTGGTCACATCCGACAAGTCGTTTAAAATGTATTTATCGTAAATATCTTCGTCATCTTCCTCTTCGTTTTCAACTCTTTCACAAACTGTTGTCTTTTGAAGATTAAGTTCTTTTAATTGTTGTTTAAGTTTATCAATTCTATCATAATTTAATTGTCTATTTTGCAAAAATGTTATATATCTTTGTATAATATCTATTAGCCATAGTTTATCAGTTGTTCCAACTTTTTCAATGGCCATCTCGTAGTTTTTTATAATATCTGTATTATATTCATTGTTTTTTAAATATTCTTCCATTTCTGCAATTTTTATCAATGATTTGCTCTCTTCAAGACTGTTACCACTATTGCAGTTTAACTCGTGTTTAAAATAATCGATGGCGTCTTTGTATTTCAAGTCATCAGCAAATGTCTGTGCAATTGATACATAAATGTTTGCAATTTCTGTGTCACCTTTATTGCACTGAAAGGCATAATCGAGTTCTTTCTTATAGAAATCAATGGCTAAATCAAAGAATTTCAATTCAACAAAATGATCGCCTAATTTATCGCACAAAACAATTTTTTGGTGCAATTCAGTCGCTTTCATCAACTCTCGATAGTCATCGCAAATAATTGATGATATCTTAAGATATCTTAAAACTTTTTGTTTGTCTTCATCAATGTTTGGACACAATTTGTATGCCTTTTTTAAGCAATGTCTTCCTTCTTCAAACTTTTGCCAACGAGTTAATAGCAATCCTTTACCAATAAGAGCATCGCATGAATTAAACTTATTCTTCAGGATTTTGGCGCTTTTCAGTGACTCGTTATACGCCTCTAAAGAATTGTTGAATTCTTTGTTCTTCTCGTAAATTGTCGCTAAAGAGAATTGACTCCGAAATAAGTCTTCAATAAAACCATATCGTCTAAAAAAAGACATAATTAAATCATAAAATTTAATTATAATTTATTGTCTAACTTATTGATGGCAATAGAGAGATGCAAATGTGTCATCGATTCGCTGAACTGACCCATTAGTTCAAAGACAAGACCCAAATTGAGGTAAAGTCGAGATCGCATTTCAGCCAATTCTTTATCTTTAATTTCAGATAATCTTTAATATAATTTATTAATTAATACATTAAATTAAATCCTAAAATAATTTACAAAATCATGTCATTACTCATCGCATAAATTTAAAGCCATTTTGAATGCATTTTTGGCATCATTTAAGACTTGTTCGTTGATCTCACTGTTTGACTGATAAAGTTCTTGTGCGTGCAATAGATGTGTCCGTCCAATGGTAGCCCACGCGCGCTGTATCTCAATATCGTCGGCCAAACTCATGGCTAAATCCAAGTACTTCTTGTGCTGAAACAACGCTTTCTGATATTCATTGATCTCTGAATAACATTCACCCAAAGCTCGTCTGGCAATGGCTTCAGATAACATACAACCAATGCTAAGACCGTATTGAAGCTCTTCTTTATGTTCATCGATGGCTTCATTGTAACGAAATGTCTGCAAATACCTCCGACCCAAACAATTGCAGATTTTGATCAACTCTTTGACATCTTTGCAGTTTTTGGCCTTTATTTTATCGCCTTTCAGCTCTGGTTTGGCATCAAATAGATTCAACAAATAGTTATAAACAACAATCAGTAATGTATTTACCTTTTATTAGTTTGTTATCCATTATAACTGTGGATCAGATGTCTATAAAAGACATACAAACAGATGACAACAACACAAGTGATGAACACTTTTGGCGCAGAAATTCATATTAATATCAATTCAACACATTTTGACTGTCATTACATTGATTGCCATCTATTGGTTGAAATACTTTTGACATTTAATTTCTACAAAACTTTTTCTTAGAAAATAAATCTATTTTTTAAAATCATTTAATTTTTAAATTATCCAAAAAATTTCTATTAATTAAAAACAATAATATATGATATAATTATAATTATATTTATTCAAATAATTAATAGTCTAATTATTTTATAATTTTTTAAATATTTAATTTCATATAAAAATATAGTATGATAATTACGGTTATTATAATTTTAATATAAGTTTATTTGTAATGCTTTATTTGAAACCCATATATCAAATATTAGCAGTTAAAAGTTTATTTAGATTTTTTTTTAGATATATCATATAATTATGACTATAACTTAGAATACATTAAAACTAGTTTTTTTGTTAAATTTTATTTATATAATTAGTGTTAAATTATAGTTAGATTTTTTTGATCAAAATTTTTTTTAGATTAAAGACTTGTCATTTTCATCAAATTCTGGAGCTATTGTCTAACTTTTCTAACAATACATTGAAAAGGATTAACTAAAAAGTTTATCGATTTTTTTGGGGACAATCAACCCGACAAACCCCCAAAAATACTCTTTAGATGTCAAAAACTGATACTCTATGGTACTGTCTACTCAAATATATGACATTTTGATTATAGTTATATTATATGAAATTATATTCAAAAAATTGTAATAAAAAGCACTATTTAATTATAGCCATAAATTTTTAATTCAAAAAATAGTTTTTTTTAAATATAAAACTTGTTGTCATATTATAACAATACTTATGAATATGCAAAACATACTGTACTCTAGAGATATAATTTGAGTGATTGTGTCATAAAAAAGTGCAAAATGTGTGTCGAAAATTCATTTTATATCAAATATTTTAAGTCATTTCACACGATAACTGACTACAACTGAAACAACTCTAAAAAAATAAATTTTTACATAAATATGTTTTTTGAATACTATGTATAGTATATTGTAAAAAGTATAAAAGTTTCAAATAGTCAACAGTTTTTTTTTGTTAAATTACATAAATTATATCTCGCTTTCGATACTCGATTTTCAACTTAATATAATTTAAAAATAATTATTTATAAAGTTAATATGCATTATACCATAAATATTACTTTAAAAATATAATAAAACCTAAATATTATTATGGTTATTTTTAATTATATTTAAAAGAAAATTACATAAAAATATAATTATTTATATTTATGTTATTTTGATACAATATTTGTATCAATGTTGTTGATAGTGATAAACATTAAAATTATAAATAACTTTCTAATTATATTACAATGTTTAAACAAAATGAGATAACAAATACATGTATTGCTGTAATTTTCTAGATTATTAAATAACAGAATTTTTAAAAATTATAATTTATATAATACATTAATAACTTTAAATTGTTAAGAAAACCAATTTTTTATATAAAATATCAATTAATTTATTTGTAAACATTTTGTATGACTTTAGTTTAAAAAAATGCGTTTATTTTTATTTAAATAGCAGTCAATATTTAGTAGTTAATAATAATAAATATTATGTAACTTTCTTATGACTTGTAATTAAACATTATAAATGATAATCAATTGATCAATCAATAAAAATTGGCATAAATTAATAAGTTTAAAAAACAACGTCTATGTAAATATTTGCATTAATAACAATTCAATAATATTAGTTAAATTAGTCTTTTAAATAAATTAATTGAGAAAAGTGAGGACTAGTGTGTGTGTGTGTGTGTGTGTGTGTGCTATAAGTTATATGACTGTTAGCACAGTTAGATAGGGGTAACGGTTCGATGATTTTTCAATTAGTTCTAAAAAACGTGAATTTCTAGAACTTTGTGAACAAACTTTATATTTGTTTATTGTATTTTCAAACATAAAGTTTATTATTATTGTGATGTTTGATCTCTAACTATTATTTATATATATATTATACAATATATATATAGTGTATCAGCCAAACGACAATATTTTTATACACTTTTAATACAATATTTATAATAAGTTTAAAATGTAAATTATATACAGTGTATATTCAATAAATAAAAATATATAGTAAGAAATATTATATAATATTTGTGTTTTACTTATAGTTAAACTTTATTTCTTTAATTATAAGTATTTATAAATATTTATTTTAAAAGTGGATTAAATTTTTATGAATCTTATGTCAATTTATTTATTGTTTAAATGGATATAAATAATTATCGAAAATAATCGTATGTTATGTCATTTTTAAAACTAATTTATATTTTTTAATTAATAATAAATTTTAGTTTTATATCATATATGAAATAATAGTAATTTTATTTACGTTTTTTAGATTTTATTAAATAATGTTTTAATTTGATTTATTGACTTTTTTATTAAATTTAATTATATATTCAAATCATTATTAGTTTAATTATTTTGTATGAAGACATTGTTTTTTTAAAAATTAGTGCAAAACTAATATTTAATGTATTAATTATCTTCTCTATAGTTTACATATCATTAAGTTTTAGTTACAATTTTTTTTCTTAAGTTCATCTAATGTTGTCATCCGTTTCAGTAAAAATAGCAAATTAGCAAATTAGCATATTTTTTTTATTTTAATTTATTTTAATAACTCAATATAATTAAATATATCACTAACTAATTTGAACATCAATACAATATTGTAAAGTATATAATAAATATAATTATTATTTTAACATAATTATATGAATTTATAGAATTTAAATACTGTAATATATATTGCATAGTGTAACTTAAATGAGCTTTATTTTATTTACTAATTACTAATTAAATTTAATATTTTTAAATAACATACAAAAATAATTAGCTATTATAGTTAACTATTTTTATATTTTATATTTATTAATGAAATGTAAATATAAAAATAAACTTAAATATTATAAAAAACATTTATATCATATTTTTAAATGTTTGTTTTTTATAAATATTTATTTAAGTTGTTTAACTGTGAAAATTAGTATACATTTAAAAAACTTCCTTAACTTTGCTATTTTATTTGATATTACAGTTATTTATATTAAATATTATTTATATAATAATAAGCGATTAAACTGTTATTTACAGTTATAATATTGTATTAAAGTGTATATACAGTATATTACTTTTATTATTATAAATTATAAATGATTACATGAAATAAAATATTAGAATTAAATCTTAAATAAAATACTGAAACAAATGACCGAAATTTCATAAAGAATTTTTTAGTATTTCAAAAAAGCTTCCGATTTAATGTTAATATATTTTAAACTTAATTTAACATAGAGTTAGTCAAACAGAAAAAGTAATGTTTTTTAGTATATGGTATACCGTATACGCCATGCAAATAATAAATGAAATTTTATATAAAAAGAGACCAAATAATAGACTAACAAATCTTAAGTATTATTACACTGTATTGTAATGTATAACAAATCCGTTACATTGTTTAATGACTTTTCAAGGGTTACTTATTTTCGGAAATAAGTTTTCAATTCATTGATCGCATTGATTAACTTTTTTTAATATAGTAATTATTGTGTTAATGAAATCATATATATATTATCTATTTTTAATTAAACTAATTTTCTAATTAAATTGTTTTTTATTTTTTATAAAAATTTCATAGATTTGATTGGTCGCTAAAAGCCATTCAGTTAATATAAATTATGGATATTTTATTTTCAATTTAAATAATTTATACACCAATGAATTTGTATACTAATGCATATACTATGATGAAGTCACAAATCAATTTGAGATCATTAATTATTTTATGGTTTGCCATTAACTCAGGTATGGATTAAATTGAATTTAAATTTTACAGTAATGTATAAAATAATTTAATCATTTGAGAAGACCATAAATATAACCATTAAATAATGAGAAAGTGTAAAAACAGTTATAGTCACCAAACGATTAATTTAATACTTTATGTCTTATATTTTCATAAAAATTATTTAAATTTTACAAAAATTAGCTAAAATTATTAATACATTAGTTAATAGAAAAGTCCAAAAATAGTTTTTTAATGCTATTACTCTAAATATAGATTTATTTTACAAGAAAATATAGTGTCTAAAAAATGAAAACAAATTTTTTATCATTAAATAGGGTTTGTCTAATGATTGACATAATTGAAATAATAGTTTTTTTTAAAGAAATTTTGTTTTCAAAAAAAAATATAATTATTTTTCTAAACAAATAGATAATACAGAACAATTTAAAAATACAAATAACTACTAAACTAAATTACAAAAAATACAATCTGTCCTTAAAATTGAAACAAAAACTTTAAACGATAGATGCAATCAATGAAATCAAATTTATTGTATCAAACTATTTGTAATTTTATTAGTTGTCCGAATCAATGGCTATGAAACTTATGAAGAATCGGATCAATTGGCAGAGGAGTCTGTGGCCGGATATGAGGACAAACAACATGAAGAGGTTTGCGTTATTAATCCAATTTCTATGTATTTGTTATTAAGTCAATAATCATAATTAACAAGTGATTTGCCAATAATTCACTCGACTGAATGTCATAAGTATTTAATTTTAAAGTCTATTTTGATGGTAATTAACATAAATAACACTCATATTTATAATTATCTATTTATTGAATCGTTAAAACTTGAAAAATATTTACAATAAGTTTAATATATAGTTAAAAATCCTGATATAGTTTAATTGGAGCTCATCCCTAACAAAATAATAATAGCAATTTAATACTATAAATCAATTGATGGACAATTAATTAAAATACTATTAAGTACAGTGTCTAATAATAAATAGTATTTTTAAAGTAATGTTTGCTTTATAGTATATTTAACACTATTATAGGTGACGGCACTCCTTTGACAAAATAGTTTAGAAACTTATTAGTTATGTTTAGTACACCCTTGAAATGACATACAATTGATTTAAGTAATGTATTTGTCACGGCTGACCCATTTCTGGCCTTTAT